GGAGGAGGGTGGGGTGGGGGTCTGTTTCTTAGATATCAAGGCCCCTCCCTAGGAGTCTCCCTGTTTAAAGGCGCGCTTGTGCCTATGGAAAGCAAAACCGTGTAGGCTTCTTCCCATGGGACATAATTCCAGGCGGTGGGCGCCCACTACCCCTCACCCCCGGGTAGCCCGCTGGAGGGAAAGCGCAGGATGCTCCAGGATGCTCCTCTGGGGGTTGCTTGGGGCCCAGCAGGAGACGCGTCAGCTCCTGGGACCGCAGAGGAGGGCCTGGGCACAGGTGGCAGCCTAAAGCCTCCAGGGAATTGGGGGGAACTGGGAAGTTAAACAACTTCAGGACATGGTTTATCAACGAGATCGTGCGATTTCTGAGTCATTTCAGCCAGGTTTTTTGAAGTGGGGATTTTTTAAAAAATTTGAGTCGAAGTCTGCAATGATCGGAAGAAATAGAGGAGAGCAGGAGTCATGGCTGGAAGTTCCCTTTCTTTACAACGCGCCACTGTAAGCGCGCCACATTTGGCATTTCTCCTGAACGCCCCCCCCGCCAAAAGGGGGAATGTGTCGAGGTAACGAATAAAGCCCCATCCCATCCCATTGCGACTGTAGCTGCCCTGACTCCTGGGACGCTAAGCCCGGGTTCAGGAGGCCACAGAGCAGCGTTTCCACCACAGTTTAGGCGAAGGCCAAAACCAAGCCAGCTTCTTCCTGGCTTACCTTAATATGCATCTTGGCTCTTTTCAGCAGGCTGAGGGTGGTGTGCCTGGTGCTCTCAGCTCCTAAAGGGACCAGCTGCTTCAACTCCTCCAAGTAGAGCCGGAGCTTCGCTCTCCTGAAACGGACAGAAACGAGGAGTCTGCTTTAGCGTCGTCGGCCCTCAAAACCCGCCCTCCTTCCCACACGGGACTGACTGGAAAGAAACGAAGCCCATTCCCCTGGCACTGATGCCTCGCGGCTCCTGCCTACGAGAGACCTCCTCCCATACTGGAGGTAATGCGTCGACAGGGAACTAAAGGAAGACGAAACAAGCCCTACGTGTTGGAATCGCCAAATATGTTCACACGCTCAGTGTACCAATCCAGGCAAACCGCATGACGACAGAGTGGCATCGGGACACCGTTTGTTGAGACAAAGGAAAGGCAAAGGCCACAACGGAAGATGCCCCGGGCCAAGCAGGATTCCCGGGGATGGGATTCCTGCAGGTTCCTTGGAAGTGACCGGCTATTTCTCTTTTCCAACATGCTCTTAAAGCTAAACGATGCCCTAGCAATATCGAGTAACTCATTCCATAATTTTAATTACTGACACACAAAGTTCCTCCCTTTTTCTTTACCCTTCCCTTTTCTGAGGTTTAGCAATATTCTCTCTGAGGCAGAGAAAAACGAAAATAACGTGATCTCCAGCCTTTCTATTAAATCTCCCGCTTGCTTCCCTCCATCTCCAGGCCAAACCTGCCCACGGAAACCTTGAGCTTTCTGATAAGTTTTTGACCATGCCGCTCCACAGCTTTCCAAGGTCTACGAAGGACAGCTGAGGTGTGCCACGGTGGATTGAGACTGTGCAAAGTATTTTATCATAAACTTTGTATTAATTCACTCAGGCTCTTCCTAATGGAAATTTCCTTTCCTCACTGACTGAACCGGTATTTTCCACTGAGCTCTGGGGATTTTTTTGCAGAATGAACTGTCTTTGCCATCCTCATTCACCCAATTCGCCCCACCGGAGTGTCCGGTTTGGAGGAAGGAAGGAAGAATGAATTTGCCATTTAGATCAACAGTAGGAAGGCAGGAACCCACCAGGATGCCCCCAGCGTCGTTACTGTTCCTTTGCTCACTGGTGACAAAAGACGGGGCAGGAAAACGGAGACTTATTGGTTTTAAAGAACGACCTCCTCCTATCAGTTGGGTACAGACAAGCCGAGACAGGGGCTCCCTCTTCCCGGCTGTCTCCTTAAAAGTATCGCTTGGGGTCCCTCAACTCTTCCCCTGGCTCAGCTTGCAAACGGGGAGGCCTCCCAGGCTGCTGCCTGGGTACATTCACACGGGCTTAAACAGAGGTTTTAAAAGCCGGAGACCAAGTTATTGGGAAAACCGGACAAGCCCTTCCTTCCACCTCAGTCTGCCTGTTCTTTAAACTCCATTCGTGTTAAACGAAATGAAGCAACTAACTAGAGTCTAGTGTACAAATATTCGTGTGATTTAAAGATTGTGAAACTTGACTTTTACGTTCATCTGGTATATCCTGGAGTCTTCTGGTGAACAGATATAAAAATTGCCACCCAAGATAAAACTCCCTGGGTGTTAAGGCCAGTGACTGGTCTGGTGAGTTTAATAACAAGGCAGAAAAAGCCAGGTGCCTTTCTAGGCCCAGCGGTCGGTCACTAAGAGAGAACCCGTTGTTTTGGTAGCCAGAAGTATACGTGTCTCTGGAAGGGACGGCTGCTGCCTCCTTGACCTTCCCTCTGGGTGTGTGTGTGTGTGTGTGTATGTCTGCCCAGGCCGCTTCCCCTCCCAGGGCTGGGGGGCTTCAGACCTGCTCCCCGTCGGGAGGCTCCTGGAGGCAGCTGTCTGTTTTCTCAGGACTGGGTAGCTGCCCCGACTCCCTGGACAGCCGTTCTCCTGCTGCGGCGGCTGCTGCTGCTGCGTTGGCAGTTGCAAGGCCCCGTGACCATTCACCCCTCGCCTGCTCCAGAGCACCACACCCTGGAACGCCACCCCCAGGGAGGCAGTCCTGACTCAAGGGAAGGGGCTTCTCTTCCCTTTCTTTTCAACACCAACACCAGGGGCATTTACAGTGGCCTGCTTCACCAGGGGATCCCCAAAGACAAATCTTTAAAGGTGGTGCCGGAAACAAAATTAGAATAATTCTTCCAAACTTGTAATATACACATTTCTCAATAGCTTCCTTAGTTAATTGCGCCTTCTAATGAAGCGAAAGTGATGACGTTGTGACTGCTGATCTGCCTAAAGGAAAGGATTACTTCATCCTTTTCCCTGGAGCATCTTCCAAGAAAAAAAGGCATTTAAAACGTCTCACTGTGTGGGCAAAAAGCAGCCACTACTTGGAAATGGAACCAAGCAAGGGGCGTTTGGGAAACAGAGTTGAATCCAGGCTCTCAGCCTGTGAAAACTGACATTCTGCAAGATCTTCGTTAGTCATTTTATTTACTAAACTTACACAGCCACCCACTTGCCAAATGAGGCTGGGCAGCTAACAAGCACTACAAATGTTCCCAAACATATACATACATACATACATATATACACCAGCACGTACGTCCATACATGCTGAATTTTAACACAGGCCCCAAGGTGGGGTCGGCCACTGGCCCCAGAGGGTTAGTCTTCCGAGCTTTTGGACTCACGCTGGAGCCCATCCTCAGGGAAGTGAGCGAGGGCTTTGGGCTATTTTGTGGGTGGCGCCTGGCTGTGTGTGGAGGTTGCTTGGGGTGTGTGGATGGCCGGTCGTGCCCTTGGCCCTCGCCTCCTAAGGACTTTGTAAGCTGGTGGTAACTCAGCACCCCTGAATTTTAATACAATTTAGCATATATTCATTATTGACACGAACACCTTTGTGTTGCATGGCCCAAGAGCTGAACCTACCACCTCTTAGTCAGCTTATTATTTCTGCCAAAGTGAGTTTTTCTTTTTTAATGAATTCTCCAAGTCTTCAGCAGCAGCCGCCAAAACTCCAACACCCCGTTCCACTCTTTCAAGGGGCACTATTATTATTATTATTATTATTGTTAAACTTGGCAGGCCACCAAATTCTTCTTTTAACTTTCTAGGAATGGGAAGTTGCTTTCATTTTTTTCTTCTAGCTTAATGGAGTGCTTAATTCTTTTTAAATTGCTTAAATTCATTGAATCCTATTTCCAGAAGAGTCATGTGTCCATAAGCAGTTACAATTCCTTAAAATGAAATTAGAATTTATTAAGGAGAATTTTATTTGGAATCAAAATATAAATCATTCAAGAGTTTTAGTATAACTGTTTAAAACGAATTCCTAAAACCTTCCAAATTTGCTGCAAACTCCTGATGAAATATGTAGGTATAAAATTACCCCCATAAAAATGGTATGTATAAGTACACAAATGAGTAAAACTTGCATAAATTATTAACACTGATGTTAATATTGAAAGCTTGTGTTTATTGTCAATGTGCAAATAAGTAATTATCAATACCACATTTGAATCACCATCTCTGTATATTAATACCTCTATCAAGTCTGTTAATCATCACTTACCTATGTTTTTCTAATTCATTATGTGAGGATCTATGAAAAACAGAGAATATGATATTTTAGAATATTAAGTATTAACTCATAATACTTTAGATTATGTATTAACACAAATAGAAACATTTGTTTTAAAAGTTCCTAATAGGAACTGTTTTTAAAGAACTTAGGCACATCTCAGTACACAAAGAACAGCGTTTCTTTGTCTTCCTCAGGTTTAGCCCAGTTTTAAGATCAACCCTGAATCAGATTAAATTTCTGTAGTATCTCAAACTGAACTTTGATTGTTGAGACACGATCGAAAGCTCAGTCACAGGACTTACTGAAGGTTACATGAACTTGGACCACGGCAGAAAACAATTCCCTTAACAGGCATGTTTTTCCTCTTGCTGACTGAAGAAGGTAAAGCTAAATGTCGACGCCTGTTCAACAAGCAGCAAACCTTCCAGGACACTCTCGCCCGATCCCGAGGAAGGAAGCCATCCCGTGGGCCCTTCAGAGTAAACTGAATTACCTCATCCTTCCCTCCTTTGGGAATCTACGGGAGGAAAAAATATCCCCAGGAATGAAAGGGAAATCACCGCTGGGCCAGCAGCAGCGATTACGGCACCTGTGCCGCAAAAACACCCCACACGGTCCAGGCTGGGAGAGTGCGGCCGACCCACCGCTTGGCAGGGAAGAGCCAGGATTTCACAGGCCGGCACCAAATCACAGATGGAGCCAAAGGGGGAAATGCCACCGTGGGATAAAGGCTGGGGGCTTAATCCCGTGGCCAGAAATTTAAAATAAAATGCCTATTATTTCTCGGGTGGTGATTGTAGCGGATATGCGGGGCTAATGGTGGGCTCAGTGTAGCATGTGCCCAGGGGGTTGCCCCGCCTAGGCCCTCTGGAAGACTCTGCGCCGCTGCCCACAAGGCCTCTCACGGGGGGGGGGGGGAATGGACGGACGGACAGACGGACTGCAAGGCTTCTCCACAGCTGCTGTAGATCTAAAACTCTGGCTTCACACCCTGCGGGATTCCTGGTTTCGACACACCGCCTTTCATTCAGGGCAGTTAAGCAACCCATCACTGTTGTCAGAACAAGACGGAGACCCGAGTCAGGAATCACCACCGCGTCCTCATCCTTGAGATCTACTTTAGGGCAGGCCTCCATTCAATCCAGGGCAGTCACAGCAAGGGCCACGGCGTCCTATGACAAGACACCCCCGGGGTGACAGGGAGCCCCCCGGCTGGCGTTCCCTCGTCCTCAGCTGGCCCAGCACCCCAAGAGAGGCACCACCGGCTTCTCCAGGTCAGTTTTGGAGGGGGGGGTTCCCCTCTGGTCGGCCAGGGCCGGCTCTGCTTCCTGCCTCTTGGCCCAGCAAAAGCTCCGCCTTGCAACCCCCCCACCCCACCCCCCACCCCGGGATCCCGCCATACCTGCCTGGCTCTGGGCTCTGCTGCTGCTGCTGCTGCTGCCCCCCCTGGCGGCCCCCCGCCCCAACCTGCCTCCCCCGGGCAGGGGGAAAGGGGCCTGGGCTCCGGGGGCCAAAGCCAGCCCCGAGGGGCCAGAGGAGGGAGGGGGCCCGGAGGCCAACCCAGGCAAGCCCGGCCTCGGCGGGCCCACTTCCTCCGGGCCGGGCCAGGGAGCGGGGGCGGAAGGGGGGCCGCCCCACTCGCCCCCTCCGCTCCCTCCCGCAGCGCTCAGCCCGGCGGGGCTTCTGGGGCGAGGAGGGGAAGCGGCCCTTTGGGACCCCGGGCCCCGCCCCCTTGGCCCCGCCCCCCGCCCAGGGCGCCCCCCCTCTCCGTCCGGGGCATGCTGGGAGTTGAAGTCCGCTCCTCCCCAGGGCCTGCCCCGCCGCTCTCAGCCCGGGAGGCCTCCGGGGCAGCCGCCCAGCCTCCCTCCCCCGGGCCTGGGGCCGGACGGGGCCGGGCGACGTGGCGGCGGCGGCGGCGGCGCTGGGAGGGAGCCCCGCGGAGGAGAAGATGGCGGCGGCGCCCCCCCTCCCTTCCCCTTCCCCTCCCCCCGCAGGGCCACTCACCGGCTGCCGGGGGCCTTCCTGGCGGCGCTCCTCCTCCGGGCACAGGCCCGCTCGAAGGGCAGCGCGGAGGCGTAGCCGTGCTCGGCCTCTGCGGGGAGAAAGCGCCGCGTCAGAGAGGCCCGGAGCCCTCCCGCCCCCCCCGGCCCTCCCGCTCTCCCCCCCGCCCCGCGCACCCCTCTCCCGCCGCTCCAGGTACTCGGCGGCCTCGAGCAGCATCAGCAGCGAGTTCCACTCCATCGCCTCCGCCGCCGCCGCCGCCACCTCGACGGGCTGGGGCCACGGGCGCGCCGCCTCCCGCCCCGGTTGGCAGGTCGCTCGCTCGACGGACAGGCCCGCCCGCCAGTCGCCGAAGGCGGGGCCGCCGAGCGGCCAATCGCCACTCGGAGGGGGACGCCGGGCCCGCCCGCGGAGGCGGACGAGCGTGGAGGGCCCGGGCGTCGCGGGCGCTGATAGGCCGGCCGCTATAGCAACAACCCCGAAGCCGAAGCTTAGCAACAGCACGTGGTGGCCCGGCCCCTCGCTCGCTGATTGGCCCGGCTCGCGTATGCAAAGCAGGGCGCGTCGCGGGATTGGGCGCCGGGAGGGGCTATGCAAATGAGGCCGGGGACAGCGGCTGCGCTGACGTCACGAAGCCCGAGGAGAAAGCTCGCGTGTCGTGTGAATGCGCGTTACGGACGGCGGGGAAGGTCTTTCCTCCGGGGGGAGGGGAAGCGGGCGTGCCGGGGGCTTTGCTCGAAGGCTTTGCTGCCACCGAACCCGCAGCCTGAACCTCGGTCCCCGTGCAGCAATTCCGCCTTTATTCGGGCAAAAAAACTGGGCATGATCCCGAGCGGCCTCCTGCAAAGGGAGCCCCGGTGTCGCTTCTGATGCTTCGGAGTCCGGAAAGGGCCGAGCGGTGCCGTTGTTGCAATCTTCTTCCTGGCGAGGCTTCCTGGCCCCTTCCTTGCTTGCAAGCGTCGCGCGGGGATTGGACCAAGCAAGCGGAGTCCTGGCTGCCTGCTTGCAGCCCATTTCAGGGCCCAGCTGGGCTGGCCAATTGAGAAGAGCAGAACCAGCTGCATTCTGGAAAGTTCTGGGCTTCCCGCTCCTGGAAGGGCCCCCCTCCCTCCCCCCCGGGTGGGGCCAAGAAACGAGGCTAAAGGCAGGAGGGGGGGGAGGGTTGGGGGGCCCAGGGCTGGTTGGAGGGCCTGGCAGCCCCTCTTTCATCGGCAGAGAGGGGATCCTGGTCCCGGGCCCTGGTGTCGCGGTGTCCCAGGAGGGCATCGACCAAGGAAGCTGCTGCTCCAGACGCTGAAAGAGGGAGGTGGGCAGAGTTGCCCTCGAGGGATCCATGCCACCTGGCAGGAACCGCCTGGCTCCGCTTGAAGGTCTGCTCCAGAACCTCCCAAGTTTCAGATTTTAATCCTGGTTTATATGTTAGTTTGGGGGAATCTTCCTTTGTCCCTTTTTGCAGAAAGATGTCCCGTCCCTCACCCCCCAGGCCGCCTTCTGTCTCCGTGCACTCGCCAGGCCTGCAGGACTCTCCGTGACTCAGCCTGAGGTCAGGGTGGCTGGTTAGAGAAGAAGGGAGCAGGGCAGGGCTTTGGAGGGCTTTCCCTCTGCCTTGGGAGCCCTAAGCACGGCTGCCTTCCCTCAGGAGTGCTTGGTCTCCTTGGAACGCCCTTCCTCCTGGAGGGGCTGGGGGGACTCCGGGATGTCCTTGGCTTCCTGGCCTCAATTCATTTTGAGTTTTTATTTCCTGTCACCGGATCGACGGTTCTTAGCTGTCTGCAGGCATCCTTGGTGACCCGGCCCTGGTACCCTTTGCTATTCTTCCATTCGCTTGGAGACGTTTGCCTGCTGTAGGTGAAAAGCACCAAGTCAAGGACAGTGGATCATCCTGTGTCCCCTGACAAAGTGCACCCCTAGGACAACCGGGAATTGCCCTGGAAAGACCCAGCTTGCAAACTTCCCAAGGTCATTTCTGAACACAGATGGGGTTTTTTTTAATAAACAGAACCGCCTGTTGTAGCTTTTTCTGTTTGTCTTCCTCATTTATCCCTTCTGTACCTTTGGAAGCAACAATATCCTTCAGCAGCCTTCATTATATTTCAATCACCCTACTGGGTGTCCGTTACAAATACTAAAATCCTAATTGTCCTTTCATATGAAGGCCTCAGCTGGGCCGTTGCGTGGCCCTAAGCTCATTGTGTGGGGGGATTTCAGCGCTCTGGTGGGCGGGTTTAATCAGGATTGGCGCCATCGGGACATTCCCATCATCTGGCTCTGCGTGAAGAGACGGGGCTCGGGGACTGGCTCGGAAAGGGCCTTGCAAACCAGCCTCCTTCCTGGGCGGGAGGTGGGCTCATCCCAGAGACCTGGCCTCCCTCTGCAGCCCGGTCCCCAGCTTCGTCTGCCTCTGGTTGGGCACACCCACGCTTTGTGATTGCTTCACTTAACGACTGTGTTGCCCGTCCATATTGTGTTTGCCTGTACCTCAGGTTAGGTAGTCCCCAAAGCTTCTGAGTTACTGCATCCGTTTTAAGGAAAGATGCGGCTTTGGTTTGGGCCGAAACATCCCTGCAGCTCTTCTGGCGTGGCTTTCGGAGAGCGTGGCTTTCCGTTTGGAGGGTTCCTTCCCGGCCTGCTTTCCTTGCAAGGTCAGCTGAGATTCCACCGCTCTGGAGACTTTGCCCTCTCCCTTTCTTCTTTTCTTTTCTTTTCTTTTCGATTGAGTTCTGCAGCTTCCCTTTGCTTCCCTCTTGGCGTATCCAGGCCAATTTCAGGAGCTCTTGAGAGCGTTTCCATAGCAATCGAGAGCCTCCGTGCTAAGTAAATGGGTTGCTCTTGGCAGAGGGTGAGCTTTGAACCTTCCGCCCAGAGGGTTGGACACCGTGGCCGGGTTGCGTCTTCCTCCAGACCGACCTTTGACGGCTCCTGTCTTAGGAGCTGCCCTCTGATCCCAGCCATTCCAGGCGGTGCCCCAACGTGGTTTGCAAACTGGTTTTAGGGAGCTTTGTGGATGCCGACATGATGCTTCATTGCTTAGAAGAGTTCTTGCTAATTCAACTGGAGGCGGTTAATAGTCTGACGTTTTTGGCGGCGCAGCTGTCAAGCAGGTTAGCCTGGTCTCAACAGCGAGGCCCTGGCCAAGCAGGCACAGCGGTGCCTTCCTTCTCTGCCCCGCCTGAGGAGAGCAACCCTCCCTTCTCACTTTCCGTGGAGGGACGACCGAGAGCATCCTGCCGTGCTGCATTACCGTCGGGCTTGGAGGTGTCCCTGCTTCAGACAGGAAGGCGGTGCAGAGAGTGGAGAGGACGGCAGAAAAGCTGATTGGAAGGCCTCTCCCTTCTATCCAGGACGTGTCAGATAAGCGATGCCTGAACCAGGTCCACAGCATTGTCTGGGCAGGGTGTGTGTGTGTGTGTGTGTGTGTGTGTGTACACATATATATATAGCAGGCACTTTCTCTCAGCCCTAGGAAGCAGGCAGCGGCAACCCACTGCCAAAATCTTGCCAAGAACACTTGAGGGTGAGGATGAATCCAGGCAGTTGCTTGGATTCAACAGGTCTCAAGACAAACAAACATACATTTTGAAAAAACGGATCCTGGCTGCAGATTTATTTGAATTTATCCTCTTCTTGAAGGGCTCAACTATATTTATTTGCCACCTAAATCTTTTAAAAAACATTTCTGAGGTGTTCTGGCAACCTTTTGTATCTCTTCTGTGTATTGTTTTTAATCACTTTAACTACATGCGCATAAAATAACTGGTAATAACCATGTAATTTTTTAACAGAACTTTTAAGGTTTTTTTTTCCTTTATACTAGTTAAGACGATATAACACGTACTTTTCGAAAGGACCTAAAGAGAAGTTTTAATCGAGACAGCTATGCCGTGGAGAATATTTCTATATCTGCAATTAAGATCTTAAAGGCTTTAACAAGGTAAAGTTTCCTGAAGAATATTGGATAAAACGAAACCCGCCCAGAATAAGAAAGCAAACCTTTTTTTAAAAATGAGAACAAGATCACACAAAGATTAGAAAAATTATATACACTGTTTATTTAGCTAACTATCTGTACAGGTTATATTTTTATTCTGTGATTTGGAAAGTCACTGAATAATAAAATAATGTTAATGTTTGTAATAGAAATTCTCTGTTTTAGAAAGTAAAGCGTTTAAATTACCCACTTCCAACTTTAAGATACACTTATTCACATTCTATTCGATTGAAAATCTCTGTACTCAAAATTCACAGCTGATTATTTTACATATGTGTTTCACTTAACTAGCGTACCAATAACTGGATTAGAATAAAATCTGATGCCACTTATTTTCTAATGCTTACAAACATTGACTTCAGTTCTTTAAAATTAATTTATCTCCCTAAAGAATTGAAACATAAAAATTTTAAAACAGTATGAGTGTAATATTAAACAGAGCAATACAGAACAAAGTCTGGATTGTGCAAAACTTTTAGTATTTGAACTATTTTCTAAATACCAATTATTTTAAACAGAAAGATATATAAACACACCTCATTTAAAAATTACCTGGGTTCCCTGAACAATATAATGTTTTAATCTTACTTATAATACAATATATACTAGGTGTAAAATGCAAACTTCAATACTTCTCCACGCCTGGTAAAAATGCACAACAATCAGTTTAGAGACAAGGCATGTCTTTTTGTAACTTCACAGTAACAAACACACTGTTCTAATTCAAGGGCAGATTTAATTATGGGAAAAAATTGAGTTTGCTTCTGTTTTTGCAAGAGATCTTGCAGCTCTACACTTCAATTACATACTCCATTCTCCCAATCTTTCCACATCACATTTTCTACATATTAATTATGGATCAGTCATAACCTATTAAATGGGAATTTATTACAACCGCGCTGTATTTTCTGCATAAACTTGTGGACATAATTTTAAGGCAAGGCAATCTATTTGCCAGGAATAAAAACAATGTCAGCATTCATCAGTATAAAGGTTTTTTGGGGGAAAAAACCACTGGTATCTCGAAGTAGATTACATTAAGTGCTATACCTATACCATAATCTGATTATATGGCATCTTCCATAAATTCACTATTAGCATTTGCACTCTACAAAGTCTGACGATTTGTTGGCATGTATGAACAATATAATCACGCTCATTATTGGCAATATTACTTCGTTGGGAAGGCATGTATATACACTTCAAAGTGTTCCTGATGTACAGTTTATGAATAAAAGGCATCCGTTCTCCAAACTGCAGTTGTTCCAAATTATTTTAAGGGAGTTGGCAAAGCAGATCTTCTCTGGGTACGAAATGGAGCAGAGGAATGCAAGCAGGGGGCTGCTTTTCACCACAGTAGCTGCCGCCAGGAAGAGAGAGAGAGAGAGAGGCGCTTTCCACGAATCTTTAGGGATGCTTCTGAACTGGCAGAACAGCAGCAATCACTCTTCTCTCTCCCGCCTTCGAGGGATGGGAAGTGGGATCCTCTCCAACCACCACGGAGGCTACGAAGAAGAAGCCGTGTGAGCTTTGGCTACTTGGTTACTGACAAAAGGAGATTTACCTGAAAGACAAAGGCGGCTTTTTAGAAACACAAATAACTTCCTTGAAGATTCATAAAGCAAATGTCCATTTGCCATTTTTTCAGGAAATTAAAACTACCGGTGTCCCACAGCCATCCTTTCTACTTTCTCCCCATAAATGTTTGTACCTAAAAGTTTACTCCCAAAATAAAGGACAGATAGTTTTTAAAAGAGAAACGGTTAGATAACCTGTTCCATTGACGGACAAGCTATGATCTGGAGATCTTCGCTACTAAATTCTTCTTTTAGGACGGCATGCAGCTTCTGAAACGCCTGCTGGATATTGTTCTTAATGGAAAAGGAGAAGAAGAAAAAAAACACCTCGTGACTTCTTCATTCTCTTAAAAGCAACGTGTGCACCAATACCGAGCTCCAAGGTTGTGCCACAGTCCTCCGCGTAATCCGGCAAGCACTTAAGTCACACCACTCAATTCTCTCAGAGACACGTGCAGCCCCACCCAGGGGCTCGGGGGCCGATTTGGACCATTTATTTGAGATCCGCGGAGAGAGAAAGGAGCTAGCAGGGGAGAGATGGCGGGAACCACCGTTTCCAACTGGCTGTTTTCAGGTGCGTGGACTTCAACTCCCAGAATTCCCCAGCCAGGCTGTCCGGAAATTGCCACGTCTGAGAACCCTGGCAGGGCCAATCGTAGTAAAAGGAGGGACGGTGAGCAGAACAACGCAGAGCAAGGGATCCCGCGCAGGTTAGCACCCGAGTCGAGTGTGTTAGGCACATATTCACAAACCGCATCCGATGCTAGCCGAGACCTACCCTCACGGGCTTGAACAAGATGAATTCGGTGTCCTTGTTCGACAAATAAAGCGACAGGCTCTGTAAGGTTGGCGGCAGCTTCGTTTTTATTCTCTTGTAGGTGGAGGACACCAAGTCGTTGATCTTCGCTATGAATAAAAGACACAATGGCTCTCATGCTGCAGAGCTTCTCCTGGAACAGAATCTCTTCCCCCCCCCTTCTCTGGGTTTTAGAAGGCTCCTTTCCACTGACTATATTTCTATACACAAACCGACTCTCTAAAATCAACAACCACGTGTGGGGAAAAATACATTGAGGAATGCGATTACAAGCAATCCTTGGTTTATGGCTATAGAGTCCCACAATTTCAGTTGCAAGTTGTGATAGTTGTGAAGCTAGTCACCAGGTGACCAGACTTGATTTTATGACCCTTTGTTTTGCAGGGGTTGTTAAGGGGACAGGGCAGTTGCTAAGCAAACCCATTGCTTTGTAACGGGGGTCTGTTGTAACTTCAACAGGTCGCTAAGTGATTGGTCGTAGGTCAATTCTTTCTGTGGGATGGCGGCTGAAAAGGACCAAGCGGGCTTACGAGGGGTTCAACTTCAAGATACAAAATCCATTTCTTCTATTAATGCTAAATTTTACATAATTAAATCGAAAAGAGGTGGCAGCTGATCGGAGAGCAACCCAAACCAAATAAAACCTGCCACAGTGATTTTATTTAAAAAGCCTTCAAAATCAACAAAGCTCAGAGGCGGATCGCAGAGTTTCCCGCGGCTGGAAAAAGCTACCTGGTTGGGCCCAAGGCTGCTGTGAGAGATTGTACTTGGGACCCCTCTGAGAAGCCACCGCGGTCAAGGCTGAAACCTGAAGGAAGGAGGGGAAGAGGAGGAGGAGGAGGAGGAAATACGCGTGAAATAGGCTTATAATATTCCGTAGAAAGCCCTTCAGCTGGCTCAAAAGGTCCCTTCAGCCCTGGAGCACATTAACTGGCCATCCAGCAGTGAACCTGCCCGTTCACAGGCTCCCTCCCTCCCCCCCCCTCTCTCCCTCCCCCCCCCCCCTCTCTCTCTCTCTTAGAATAAAAACAAAATTTCTAGTCCTTTTAATACCTTTGACAGAAACTCCTGCAGGGGCTCGACAAGCTGCTGGGTCTGCTGCTGAATGAACTGCTCGCAAGCCAGCTTGAGGTGCCGGTCCACGTCCTTCTTGGAGTTGATGTAGTGCTCCCTGATCTCTGGCGTGCCCTGCGAGGGGAAATTTGGAATGTGCCACAGCCCCAGCGTGATTTTCCCAGGCAGGGCTGGCATTTTGTAGGGAGCCTCCTTGTTACCTCCAGCAAGAACTGTATGATTGCATTGTTGCTACTTAGTCTGAAGAAGTGGGGAACCGTCATGGGATTCAGGATTTTAAAGGCAGCATCTGAGAAAAGAGAACCGATTTAGTAAGGAATATTTATGAATATTTGTGTTATGCATTCAAGTCGAATGGAACTTCTAGGAATCCCCATGTGAATTTTGAAGACCACGTAGAGATCCCAGGCTTTCCATGCATGGCAGCACGTGATTTTGATCTTTCCTTAGTAACTTCCAGCCTCTTGACAATCCCCAAGGTGCTTTTTCTTCAGGCGGCGACTGGACTTTCTTGTTTGTCCTTTGAGGACGTTTCGTTTCTCATCCAAGAAGCTTCTTCAGCTCTGACTGGATGGTGGGGAAGGGAAGGACTGATTTATCCCCCTTGTAATCGTGTCAGCGTGTGAGTTCCCTGGGAGAGAATCACTGAGGCCACTTGGAGGTTTTCCCGTGTCCTCCAGATCCCCCGAGTGGGGCAAATGGGTGGGTCGCGGGGGGACCCTCCTGGTTCTGGAGCCTCCTTGGAACTGCAGAAAAGCCCCTTTGGGACAACCGTGGCCTGGGTGACGGGGAATTTCTCCACAGAGATTCAGCCTAGTGGCAAGTTTTTTGACCGAAATGCCCCCGTACTCATAAACCATACAACGCACTACTCATTATCCGCCCATTCCAACGTCTGACCAAACGCACCCACTGTGGAGGAGGAAAGGCAGGAAGGCTGAACTTCCAGCCTCGCCAGCTTCTGTTAATGCAGCCTTGTGAGTCGCTTTAGCTGACCCAGTCCTGTTTCCCGCCTGGCCTCGATCCGGAGGAGGAACACACTTTGGGTTCTCACCCCTGCTGAGCTTGGGGCGTCTTCAACGCCAACTCAATTACCTCTGGTTTTCTTCAGATCCAGCGAAATTTCCTTAATGGTGAATTCGGTGTGGAAGGGAGCAATTTGCTCACGGAGAATCAGAAGGTGCTTTATGAGAAAAAGCTGCCCGTCGATCTGAGTCTAAATTACAACAACAACAACAACAACAGCGTCAGAGGTCAAGGCAGGCGGACACAAGAGGACTGACCTGTCACTGACAAAAATCCAGCCAGAAGCAGCTTTGAGGCCACGCAGAGAGGTCGGGACGGGAGGCAAACTGGACGGAGCCCCCTTTCCTCAGAGCAAACCCCTCTGCCCCACCCCCACTTGAATGCCCCTGCCAAGGACTCCCCCTCCCGCCCCCCTGCTCCTGACCAGCGCTTGTACCTGACCTTGCTTTTAGCAATCGAGTCTGCAGCCGCCAACAAGGACTGTATGCAGGCCGACAGCGCCTCCTGCGACAATCCTTGGAAGACCGTTCCCTGGAGAAGGGGAGGGAGGGGGGGGCAGAAGGTTATACAGCTGGCACCTTCCCTTTACCCGGTTAAGTGTGATTTATTTACCCAAACCTATCAGGCAATAAACCTGAAACAACAGGGCGAGTTACTAAAAGATTTACGTTATTCCACACAATAAATAGTAGTAGTAGTAATTATAATGATGATGATAATGCTGAATTTATCAGACTTCAGTGCCTTGATTCTACAAAAAGCCACCCTACTTGGAACAGCTTATATCCTCCGATGCTACCTGAATAGTTCCTAGGTCCTTGGTTAGGACTTGAGCTGTTGAGCTACCAGCCAGCCCCAAAGGCCGTGAATCTCACCAAAGATTTAATAATAATAATAATAATAATAACAATAATAATAATAGTAGTAGTAGTAGTAGTAGTAGTGGTGGTGTTAACTGCTTACATCGATGCACCTGTAAAGCTTGGAGAGGCAGACCAGGGTCCTCCTCACGGTGGGGTACCACATCCCGTGGAGATCCGCAGGGGAAACGGAGTTATGGGCTCTCGGACTACAAGGTCCCAGCGTATCTGCAAATGCGGAAGGCGGGATGGTTTAGGTGCATGTTTCAGCCTTGAAGAAGTGTGGATTTCAACTCCAGAGCCCCCCAGCTGGCCCTCCTCCAGGTGCTTCGGGAAATGTTGGGTCGCCAGGGATCACCTGTGTACCACACCCTAGTATGAGATCTACCGTACTAAGAGCGAAAGGAAGGCTCTGCCCTTCTCTTCTCCCCTCAAGGCCATTCCCAATGCCTTCGGACTGAAGCACCGGGCTCTTTCCAGGCGCGGCAAGAATCCGCCATTATCCTTTAAACCAAACAATGTCCAGAAAACAACAGCCTAAAGCAGTGATCCCTTCAGCCAAGCCAACGAGGCGGCTTGCGTTTGTTCCCCTCATGGCCTTTCTAGACGCTGAGAATCGGTGTCCAAATGCAACTGCTACCAGTGGGCTTTTTCAAGGACACAACTTTGCACAACTGCACATACATACCAAGTTTTACCTCGCTGCAGCTGTCTGGATCTTCCTGCTTTGCAGCTGTCGAGGAAGCCTCCGCGTGCGATTTCTTCTCTTCCTCTTTTAAGCTCTGGGCAATTTGCTGCCATGAAAAATCCATTTTGTGAAGGAGCCCACAAAAGACGTTTGGCTATTTTATTACTTGTTATAATTATCTTAACCCAATTCTCCCCCCCCCCCCCCCCGCCACTCCTCCGTGTTGATCTCCCTCAGTACAGACTGACTCTGGAATGAAAGATCTTTCTGCAAAAATAATGTCTGGGGTGGCAGAACTACTGGCTGAAATTACACTGAATCTTATTTAGAGAATATCATTTTTGTTCGATATCCGCCAATACCGGCATACAAGAAAGCCACCAATCCAGAGTGTCCATTTTGCTTCATGACTTACGACTGAAACTGCAGGGCCAATTGTAAGTCGAGGACTATCTCTATGTATACACGGGTTTAGTTGTCCACATAGACAGAACTTTGGGCCGTTTTCTCATGAGCTTCTCAACCCCGTTCCAGGCCCTGAGCCCAGCGACAGGGCAGTGCTGGAGGCCTCCTGGTAATGTCATTTTAAAAGCACAAACGAACCAGCGGCGCCTGCCGGGCTCCTCATCCTTCTGTCAAGGTGATGCCTTGTCTTCCTCTGCAATGCCCCCCCCAACCCCCCTTACCTCCATCATTTCCAACTTGGCAGGATAGGCCAGGTCCCCGGGGGCAGGCTTGTAGCCCAGAATGTCGGTCTGAATGTAGATGTGGGTCCTGTAAACCAGCCGCTCTTGAACATCCTCCAGCATCTGCTTCACTCCGGCAGCGAAAGCCCCCAGCTGCTTCACTGCGAAGAGAAAAAATACCAGAGTTCTCCCTCTCTCCAACTTTCTCCCAGTCACCATAAAAGAGGCACTAGGCGGGAGCTTTCTCAGCCGCGGCAACTGGAGGGCCCAGAATTCTCCTGCCAGCCACGGGATTCATGGGCTCTTAGGTCCACAGGTCCTCAAAGTCGCCAAGGCTGAGAAACGCTACTCTAATCCTACCCGGACGAAAACGGCTCTGCCCTAAAGTTCCTGGTCTGAATTTAGGAATGATCTCTAGTGGTAAACGTTCTTTATTTGCCATTCTGTTTCATTTTCCAACTGGGGAACAAGGAACTGCCTCTCCTTAGAATGGACGGACTTCCAAGAATAGAACCAGAACAACTTTTATTTGTATACGTTTATCTAATAATGTTAGTTACTAATGTTAAGATTGGTGGTGTGTGTGCTGCAATGTCCTTGCGGTTGGTTGTGTCTGGGGGAATCTCTGCGGGGGGCATAATTTTGAAACTGGGTTATAAGGAGCTCTGTGTGTGTGTGTGTGTGTGTGTGTGTGTGTTGTAACTCTGAAAGGTTGCTAAGTGATTGGCCACCAACTGAGGACTTCCTGTGTTCACACTATCCAGTCACGTTTAAAATGCCTGCCCTTATTCGGATTGTTTTGATTCTTATACTCACCGTTGTTTTGCACATGATCTTCCAGCATTTCATTTTTAAGGATCCCGCAGAGTTCAGACAAGGTTTCCAAATGAATTACGTGGATGATCAGGGGCCTCAAGACGTCATACAATGACAAGCACAGCTTTTCCAGAAGCTCACTAAAAAAAAAAAGAGAGAGAGAGAGAGAGAGAGAAGAACAAAGACACCAAAAGATCAGAAATGTTCATAAATGCTTTTCCACCCAGAGGGGAGACCAAGGGCACCCAGCAAAAAGTGGACGAATGAAATGGGTCATTTCGCTCCCCACTGCTGGTAGGATTTGGTAGGAGAAGCGATACTGTGACATGGGTCACCTACTCCAGTTTGGGTGTTGGTTTTGTGAAGAACTCGTCAAACAGCTGGTGTTCATCCTGGCACACGTGAACCATGAAGGCACAGCCGCTTCGTACCTGAAGTCCGTCACAAAGAGATGCTTGGTTAGACACAGGCTGGTTAGCATCCCTGAACCGGTTCCCCTTCATGCTGAGATGGGGCCTGGGTGACTCCCGCCTTGGCAGGTAGGGAGACGGTCGTGAGGCAGCCCTGGAGTCACACCGCGCGCGAGCTCAGCCCTGGCTTCTCTGCTTCTTCCCTCGCAGGCTTCCATTCACGGACTGGATTGTTACCCAGTGCCATGAAAAGAAACGCTGCCCGCAGTTTCAGTCAAGATATAGATCACTATTGCAACTCAAGTTAGACAACGCAATTACTCAACTGACGCCACTCAAGTGTTAGCCAACATTCATGAATTAGTTCTCTCTCTCTCTCTCTCTCTCTCTCTCTGGGGTCTTCCAAACCACAGTGAATTAAAAAGGTGTTTGTCTATAAGCAAATTGGCCAAATAAAAGCAAAGTCCACCAGGCAGTTTTGATCTCTTTTGGAATTGTTAAGAAAAAAACGGGCTTGCTGCATGATAAAACTGAGAGAAAAAAATGCACGTCACTGAGAATAATATACACATGTGAGCAAAATATTTTTCTCTTAAATTCAAAAGGAGCCAACATTTCATTTAAAAAACAATGAAAACGCAAAGACAGAAAGATAAAACGGAAAAAAACAAGACTTTACCAGAGCGCAATGATCTCTGTTGTTTCGATTAGTTAATTCTGTGACCGTGCTGGTGATGCTAGGCCCCAACAGGTGTTCTCTCTGATTGAGGTAACAGTGGTGGATTTCACTTAATAGTTGCCGGTATCTAGACAAAGGGGGGGGGGGGGGGAGAAAAATAATGCAATTCAGAGAGAAACGAAACTTTACAGGTAGTAAACTAACTACATTTTATACGGCCTCTTTTCTTTTCTGCTAAGAATGAGCAGTGAAAGGGGAATGGCTTTTTGGGGCCGGCAGTCATTCACATGACTGAAATTACGTAGCCAACCAGCGAGAAACCACAGCGCAGCCATCGTGCCATTTTCAAGGTTAGGAATAATTTTAAAGGCCTCTCAGTCATCTCCACTGGGTTTTTTTTCCTTTTTAAACTCTGGAAATAGACAGCAATCTGTGTCCTCACCCGCTTACGAGGCGTGGCCTTGCTCAGTCACTTAACAAATAGTCCCCAGCACAGAAAACCACAGACTTTCAGCTTAAAACATAAACAAGTGAAAGATTGCTTGCTTCCATTCCGTGGTTAGAAGCGAAAGAAAGGAATATAAAGTTCACTTCTTTGATCGTGGCTAAAATATGGATTAGTTTTATAAAATTCTGGAAACCTTTATGGGCTTTTTTCCAACATTTGGACAGAAATGACAACCATCTTTGGACTGGTCATTGTATTGGGGGAGGTGGCGCTATCCGGTGAAGCCTGCGTACAATCGCACAGGGGATGAGAGGAACCATTCATCTGCCTCTACTTTTTGCAAGGAAGATTGGGAATCACTTCTCTATTCTTTTTCTCTTTTCCTTTTTGCACTTTGTATTTCTTCTTTTCTATTCTTTTTTTCTTCTGATTTCAGTTTGCACAGGTTTCCAGCACTGTAAAACCGTTTAATGTAAAGTACTTTCAAAAAGAAAAGAAGAGGCCCAGGGCTGCTTAGGGAGAATTCAGCAACTTTTGGGAATATCCTGGGTGTCTCTGTCTCTCTCTCTCTCACTTGCAAAGCCATCAAGCAGGGGTTTGAACGGATGGGGCCAAAGGGAAACCGAGGCCTGCCCCCCCCCCCCCCCCCCCGGGACCACAGGTGGGTCTCCCCAACCAGGCCTGCTGTACTCATGGAGAGAATGAGAATCGGGTGGCTCCTTCTTGGGCCTCAATCCACACAACAGTATTTTGCATTCATTTTAATATAAAATGCTAGTAAATCTACATACTCCGGCATTTTCTCAGATCGTTGCTCGATTTGTTCAAAAAGTGTCTAAGGAAACAAGGAGGGAAAAAAAAGACAAACGATCCGTCATAAAGCTTTCCCGTTTCAACCGTTTTTTTTTGGTTCAGTTCAGTTACCCTGAATCCTCTCTGCACTCCAAAAGAGACTCTTTTCTGAAGAAATACTTATAAATTTCCCATGTGAAACATCTTGCCTTCCTGTCTTTCTAGAGTAAATGGGTTTTTTTTCTGCAATCCTATTAATTCAAACCTCCCAGTCTTTTAAAAGGTGACAGGTTAGGTATAATTTCATGACCCAGGAGTGAAAGGATATAAAATCCCAAATTGGAAATCCAAATATGATTAAAGCAGCTAATTCCAGAGACTAAGAGATAGTGAAGCAAAGCCAATGCAACAAAAGTTTGACTCAAGTATATGTGGAGAGGATGTACTGGCTGTCAACTGCGACCTTGCCAAACGGACCAACATCGCAGTGTTCTGATACACCCAAAGGCCCTACAGCGGAAGCATTTCCACCACCCACCACCCACCCTTTGGCCAGAGACCCAACTTCGGGACCTGGAGGTCAGCACTAACTGCCTTTGTCAACCTTCGAGGTATCCCAGGAAGCGTAGAGGCCTATATAAGCCAAACTAGTAAGTTTTCTTTGAGCATAAAAGCAAATAGTCTTTCTCAATAATGTTGCATTCCTTCTATCCGTCTCCCTCCACTGTTCGACCTACCCGGACTTTGGGTGCAGCAGCTCTGAACTTCAGATAAAACAAAGTAAAGGCGTTGTCTGAATTTGGAGCCAGCAAAGGATCCTAAAAGAAAGAAAAAGTTGTCTACACACTGTGTTATTGCACCACACACACACACACACACACACCCACACCCACACCCACACACACGAACACAATACAGAAGCCTGATGATGGCAGATGAGATTCTGCCGAAACGTTGCTACAACTTTAAAAGCACAACTACAATGACGTGGGAAAATACCCGAACAAAGCTGAATGCCATACATGTAAGTACCTGCAAAAACTTGAGAAAACATTATATATATAAGTACCCGCAAAAACTTAAGAAAGCATATATATTATATATATAAGTACCCGCAAAAACTTAAGAAAACATATATATTATATATATATATATGTTTCTTAAGTTTTTGCCGGTACTTACATGTATGGTATTCAGCTTTATCCGGGTATTTTTTCACGTCATTATAGTTATGCATTTAAAGTTGTAGCAACGTTTCGGCAGAATCTCATCTGCCATCATCAGGCTTCTGTATTGTGTTCGTCTGTGAGTCAGACTTTCACAGCCGTTTCAGTTTTAAATTTGGTGCTAGCCTACTGCTGTGCCAGAATGGTTTTTTTTTTCTTCATCCTGATTGGTTGGGAGTCTTGGTCTGTGTTTATTGGTCTTGGAGTTTGCTGTGTTCTGCTTGATTGGTGTTTCTAATATCTTCTGTCTGTTTTGTGGCTTTTTTTTTGTCTTGGTTGGCTGACAACATTGTGTTTCCTGTATTGGAGGCCTTTAGTGCGGCTTGGCTCCAAGTAAATGGACGGCTATCATTTGTTAGGAAGCTAGGTTTCATCTGGGTGCCTGGTTGGGGTGTGTTTGAGCTGGAGGTATCAGGGGGGGATCTGTTTGTGCCCAGGTGTTTGCCTGGCTTGTGGTGTGGAGATTTTTTTGTTTGTCACTCTCTTTGCCCTGAATGTGAATCATAGCACAGTGGAAAGGGGTCCCGGGTGAACAGAGAACACCAAAGGTAGGTATGGATTTCACCCCACAGAAAAACGCACCATTTGGCCAAAAAAACGCTGCCCATCCTTGCGCCACCAGTAAGGCATCGTTGAGGCCATTTGTGCAGACGATTCCCTCTGAACACAGATGTAACCCTATTGAATGTACATGAGCTGATAGCGTACCCTTTTCATTAACTGATTTGTGAGGTTCTGCAGGGTGTTCACCGCGTATGCTTTCATAAGATGCACCGCTTTAGAAAGACACTGGTTGCACTTTGCCAGATACACAGCGCAGTCCCTAAAATTTGGCTGCAAAAGAAGGAAAGGGCGTTAAGCAAGAGTGATAAGTAAAAAAGTGAAATAATAATAAGGGATTGATGGATTTCATGCTTCAAACTGAATGTGCAGAAACATTCTAGATAATCAAAGTTCCCCCCTGCACCAAATTAAAAGCAAGCAAAAACGTCATATTTGCTATAGACCTAAGTCAGGGGTATCCAACCTTGGCAACTTCAAGACCTGTGGATTTCAACTCCCAGAATTCTCCAGCCAGCATGGGGATGGATGGATGGTTGGATGGGAAATTCTGGAGTTGAAGTCCACCGGTCTTGAAGTTGCCAAGGTTGGACACCCCTGAGCTAACTACTGAAAAAAAGTAAAAGGACACATTCTTTGGCCTGGAAGGCAAATATCCGTTATATTGCTCTATCCTCCAGACAGAAATTAGTGAAATGTTTTTATTTATCTAATTTATACACTGCCCATCTCACCCTCTCGGTGACTCTCCACACAAAGTCCACGCAGAGATGAAGAAAAATGGAAAAGATGGCAAGAGTGCCTGGAAGCCGCCAGTGATGTTTAAAGCAGTCTGGAGGAAGAGGAGGAGGAGGAGGAGCGGCGCGATACTTACATGGGAGGACACATAGGCTATGCAGTCGTCCAGCTTGTTCAGCATCGAGATGAAGCTTTCACTGCTGACAGACAGCGTGGGAGAATTCAATTTCTTATTGGAGGCAAAACAAGGAATAGAAGTCATTACAAATGCACACCCGAAGAAATCTTGGTTTAGTACCATTATTACACAATATGCTTTCCAGTGTTTAAAACAATACACATTATTTTCTACCATTTTAAAAACCCTTTCAGTATTCTCTTTGGAACGGCGGTTCTTAATCTCCCTTTCCCACCTCTCGTCAACGTAGAAGAATCAGGAGCCACAAACCGCGGTCCTTCAAGGGCATTCTTGGACAGAATGCCGGCTGGCGTATCTCTAGGCGGGCAAGACAAAGAGGCTCTGAGCAGAACAGAGGGGCTGGAGGAGGAGGAGGAGGTGGAGGAGCCGATGGGAGTGCCGTTTGCCGCCTCCTGCCAGTTCCCCCCACCACCCCCACCCCAGACTGGTCAGAGCTGTCCGTGAAGGTCACGAAGGGCCATCCCGTCCCTGCAGGACGCTGTAACTTTGGGTCGCCCTCCCCAATGGTGAGCCCAGGGACACTGCAGGGGCTGCTGCAACTCTCAGAGCCCGTTGTGGGTCCCTCCCGCCTCGCTCAGCACCGGCTCTGAAGGGCGGCTGGAGGAGTGCTGCACCTTGCCCAGGCCCCGCCTTCTGCCCCAGAGCTCTCCAACCTGGCTGGAGAATTCTGGGAGTTGAAGTCCACAAGTCTTAAAGTTGCCAAGGTTGGGGACCCCCGATCTACCCTCTCTTGCCTTGTGTTTCCATTTCAGTGCATCTCAGGCTTTTCCTCTTTTGTTGTCTTTAAGGAGCCTCTGTGGCACAGTGGTCAGAGGGCAGCACTGCAGGCTCCTTCTGCTGACTGCCGGCTGCCTGCAATTTGGCAGTTCGAATCCCACCAGGCTCCAGGTTGACTCAGCCTTCCCTCCTTCTCAGGTGGGTAAAACGGGGACCCCGATTGTTGGGGGCAAGAGGCTGACTCTGTAAACCGCTTAGAGAGGACGGTGAAGCCCTGTGAAGCAGTTTATAAGTCTAAGGGCTCTTGCTATGGCTATTAAAGATGAAATTAGAATCTTCCAAAGGGCAAAGCCTTACCCATGTTTTCTTGAACCAAAGTTTTAATGAGTTCTGTGTACATTTCTTTATTACATTTCAACCATAAAACACAAATTATTAAATGAGAACTAATTAAACTTCTTTATACGCTTTTAGAAAGAACTTCAAATTCAGAGACTGGGGCTTTTTTTTTAAAGAAATGGTGAGAAGCTAAACAACTGTACCTACTGTATTAATATTTTCCAGTTCAATGAAATAGGACAGTTTCTGGTGAATATTTTCTGCCAGGTCCACAAGCTCCGACTATTTAAAAAGAAATGAAATATTTATTAGCAGGTAATTAAAAGCATGTTATCTCAACACGGAATTGCCTCTTAAAAAGCACAGGTGATTGATAGGTTATTAAGTTTATATTAGCATTTTAGTATGGTTCCCAACATTTCATCCCGATATAAACTTGGTATGACAGTGTTACATGGAGGAGAATAAGAAACTATTGCAAGTAAATCAATCATTTCTTAATTCATAATTCAGATCCAGGTAGCAAAAGCTGCACTAGAATGAGACCCAGTTTGACGTCAGCATCCCAGTGCTGGCCTACAATCCAGGAGATAGGGAGCTGTAGGCTTCCCTTCGACAAGAAAGCAGCTGGGTGTCTTTGGGCTCGTCCCTCTCACTCCACCCACCTCACAGGGTTGTCATAGTGGGGGAAATAGGAGGCAGGAATATTAGGTATGTTTGCCGCCTTACTCATATATTAATTGAATTCTTTATTGCCACTGTACGTATATACACAGCATACACATACAACGAAATTCACATAATACCCAGAGACGACACCCAACACACATGCACACATGACAATCCCCAAGCACACCCCACCGCCACCTGCCAAAATTCCCTGCCCCCTAAAAACACACAAGCCTCCACACAACAGACCAAGTAATCCTGTCCAACAGCTCACTGACGGTGGCCCTTAAGTTGTTAAGTGCAATTATAGCTCTGGGATAAACATTGTTCAGGAAACGTATGGTCCGAGTTTTAATTGTTTAATATATAAGGTAAACGTAAAGGTTCCCCCTCGCACCTACGTGCTAGTCCTTTCTGGCTCTAGGGGGCGGTGCTCACTTCCGTCACAAAGCCGAAGAGCCAGCGCTGTCGGAAGACGTCTCCGTGGTTATGTGGCCGGCAGGACTAAATGCCTTCGAAGGCTCATGGAACGCCGTTCCCTTCCCACCAAAGGGGTCCCTATTTTCCTACTTGCATTTTTTTACATGCTTTCGAACTGCCAGGTTGGCAGAAGCTGCTGGGACAAGTGACGGGAGCTCACTCCGTGATGCGGCGCTTGGGATTCGAACCACTGAACTGCCGGCCTTTCTGATCTACAAGCTCAGCGTCTTAGCCACTGAGCCACCACGCTAGACTTCTCCAAAAGACCCATTCCTGCCTTTTGGGCCTTGGGACATGAGAAGTGTCAGCTTATCTTCTGCCATTCAACTCTGGGTTACCTGCTCTTTGAGCAGCTGCTCGCAGGCTTCGTGCAGGGTCCCTGTTTTGGTTGAGACAAAGAGGTATTGTTCCTGCAGGGACTTTAGGTGCTGAAGAGCGCAATTCACATCATTCAGGATGGCATCACACTGCTCTTCAAATCCAGCATAAGCTGCCCTGGCCAGCCTTGGAGAAACACACAAACCACAGCGCCTTTTAGCCACCTGTAGCAGCAGCAGCAGCCGGAGAATTGATAACACCGTGCAGAACTTTTGGACTGCCTGTTGTACATACAGCTGCTGTGTGCAGTACACAACGCATGGCAATTCTTTGTATACCATGCTTCATTTGGAAAACTAGATCACAGGGCAAGGGAGATGGTTAAAAAAAAAAGGAAACTAGAAAAGGAAACAGGTTCACTAGAAAAATCGAGAGAAAATAGCTTTGTAAACTAGAGAAATAACAGAATATACCAAATGAATTTTAAGATTCCAAATTTTTTTGTTGAATACATGAACTAAAGGAAGAAAACAATGCTAAGTGTACAAGATATTGGAGGAATTAAATCTTATATCAGCTGCTTCAGTCATTATTGATGGATACTGCACATTATCCATTATTGATATTGCAATTAAGTAAAATATATATACATACCGGTATTTGGTCTCCTCATCTTGGTCCATCTGTGTATGAAGTTGATCAAACCACGAGAAGAACTAGACCAATGAAAGGAGAAAGCTCTTTAAAATCACCCTGAACTCAGAAGAAGCTGACAATTTCATTCTCTTTATTGTTTGCTGTTGTCTAAAAATATTGAAGAAATATTTTAGGAGAGGATTTATCAAATGTCAATCAAACTGCGTTTTCTCCCTCCCATTCAATCCCGTCCATTTCTTGGATAAGGGCTTGAATTTTTCTGGGCAAGTTTTCCCACAAGTGCTTTGCCGTTGCCTCCTTCTGAAAGTTGACGGAAAGTGACTAACCCAAGATCACTAGCTGGCTTTGTGGCCAAAGCAGGACTGGAACTCAGAGCCTCCCAGTTTGTAGCCAGGCACCTTAATCACTACTCCAAACTGGCCCTCAACTACTATTACTATTATTACTTATTTGCATAAACTTGTCGTTTCTTCCCTCCCAAATCTCAGCATTCACTTTTCCTCCCATTTTCACCCAAGCCAAAGGGAGTGAAATTTACTCCATCGACGTCACTTGAAAGCCCACTCTGGGGTTCTGGGGGCAAAGCAGATGCCTCAGGCCTAAGGTCATCGGACTCCTTAAAATGACCCAGCTGAAGAAAAGAGAGACAAATGCACCAGCCATCCGGGGACTGCGTATTTCAGTCCCAAATCTGGCACTGGAAAGCTAACGGCCAAATCAGTCATTAGGGCTGCGCAGGGGATATGAATCTGCAAAGGAAAAGATAATTTGCTTGCAGCTGCAGCCATCCAAACCTCTTTAAATCAAAGTCATCTTTTCCTGGTTCTGGCCAGTCAAAGAAAGACACAAATTCTCCCTGTGTGATCTAAGTCACCTTTTCTTGTGCTACTGAACTTCTGCACAACTACTCAAGTGCGTGGTTTTTTTGTATTATGACCGGAATCAGAGAGCACTTGCAGTTTCTTCGTTTCCTTTTTACCTGCTGCGCCGTTTCAATTCTTTCATTTTCCATACCAAAAGAAGAGAATCCTTTCAAGAGAATGTTCTCTGTAGACTCTGGCAATGTGGCTGTGAGCGTCACTGTTAATGATGGCTGGACAAGGCTATTTAAATCTTCTATGGGCAGCTGTTAAAAGGGGGAAAAAAACTATTCAGTTGCCATCCTATGAAGTTCATAAGTCTCCTGGCAGTTGACAGTATTGTACAAGTAAATCATGTCTGCTTGCTAAGTGATAAAATATGGAAGTGAAGTCTTTAAATACTATACATATACATACAATGTACACATTCAAATGGAGTCATATTTAAGTAACAAGGGAGAATCAGACCCTGATAAACACACCCCAATCCTTGCGTAGCAATAAGACTCACTGGGTCCAAGAGCCAAACTGTAATATTAAACTGCAATTAACATTCAGATCATGCTAGAAAGCCAAGCTGTGTAATTTTACCCATGTAATCTTGACATCCAAAATTCCAAGTAATATTGATACAATTTTCACTTTGCTTTCCCTAGTTTCTGTACATTAAGCTTTCAAAATAGTAAGAGTGTCAATAACTTCTAATTGTATTGTGTGTAAACAGTACAAATGAATCAGGTTTGCAACCCAATGACGGAGAATCTTTGTAGCTCAGGGTTGAAATGAGGGGGGGGGCGGGGGGCTCTGAGACTGGCGGTTTTCTTGCAGACGTTTCATGACCCAACTAGGAGGCATCCTCAGTGCCGGGAGGCTTTGCTAGAGCAAACCCCACTCCCCGCCCTTCTAGACCGATGATGGTGGTGATGGTGAGGAAGACAATGTCAGCCATCTGGTCGCGTATGGCTCTTGGCGCTTCTCTCCCCAATGTCTGATCTTGGCCCTTGGCTTTGCTTTTCCAAAGGTCGCAAAGGGGATCACGTGACCCTGGGAATACTGCAGGAGTCAAATATGAGTCGGTTGCTAACCGTCTGGATTTTGGATCACATGACCATGGGGATGCTGCAACGGTCATAACTGTGAAAAAACGGCCATAGGTCCCTTTTTTCAGCGCTGTTGTAACTGAACGGTCGCAAAATGAACTGCTGTAAGTCGAGGACTACCTGTAACCTTTCCAAACAGTGTTTGCAGGTAGTCCTTGAGTTACCACCATTCGTTTAGTTGACTATGCTGCGTCTTTTGAGTCCTTCCATGCTGTCCCTGGCTGGGGGTCGGCTTTGAGGCTGGGCAGCCACCCTCTTCTTTGGCGGCCGCTAATTCCTCCCAACTATCACCGCTCCCTCCAGGGAACCCCCCACACACACACCGGGCGTGGCAGGGGGAGGAAGAGAGACGCCCCTTCTGACACGGGGATGGTGTGATTGATGATCAGGATGAAACGCCGAGTTGGGCAGTGAAAAGCCTGCAAGGAAACAACCAGGCTCAGGTTTACAACAAAAGTGGGGGGGGAAGAGAGGGCACCCCGGGAGTCCCCGAACTTGGCAGCTTTAAGGCTTCTGGACTCCAACTCCCAGCACCCCCCCCTCCTCTTCCAGGAGGCAGGTGAGCTCGGGAATTCTGGGAGTGGGAGTCCGCAAGTCTCTTCTTCCACTTGCCAGTTCGGACGCCCCGGGGGGGGCCCTCCTTCCCCCCCGACCTCCTCCCAGGCCCTTCCGCGTGGCTTCCTTTCCCCCGGCCCAGCCTGCTGCAAGGGCAAGCAGCCATCCCCTCCCTCCGGATCCAGGCGAAGCGGGAGCCCCGGCGGGCGCTGCCGGGGCGGGAGCCAGCCTACCTCGGGCGGAAGGGGCAGCCCCGGTGAGGCCGCGCGCAGCTCCAGCACCGAGTCCCGCTGCCGCTCGCTGAGGGGCGCCAAGGGCCGCTCGGGGCGCTCCCACCAGCTCAGCCGCTCCGTCGCCATCCTCCGTCCCGGAAGCCCGCAGTGCCGACGGGGCGGAAGAAGAACCCCGCCGGCCTACGGAAGCCGACGCAGACAAACATCCGCCGGGAGCGGAGCCACTTCCGGTGTCCGGAAGTGGGTGGCGAGCGCGACCCTAGACTTGCGAACGTGAGAGTGATCTACGGAGGACGATTTCAAGCCCGCTCTGCAGTTATTTGGCACGCAGTTCTTTGCGTTTCCCTCCAAGAGGGTCATTTCCTCGTCGCCCCCCGAAATGCCTGCAGGGCACCCCAACATTGCCCTCCCCCCCAGTTGCTATTTGGAGGAGGGGGTGCCCCAAAATCCAAGGGAAGAATGAGGCTAATGCCTATGGAGGCTCTCATTCATCCGGAGGGCATGGATTGTCCCAAAGGCGCTTTTGTTTTAAAGGCAACTGATAATTCTTAAAAGAAAAAGAAAACGTTTCTCAAAGAAAAATCGGGAAATTTTCAGCTGTCTTTCAAATAAAATCACCCTTGGGGCTCTCAAGGCTAATAACATTTATTTAGGTATTTATTTACCAAAAACAGAGAGGATGCATTGGGTCTCAAGGTGAGAGTAACAGGATTTTAAAATCTTTAAAAAAAAAAAAAATTTTAAAAAGATAAAACAGTTTCAAGTTTGAAGACTAGTAGCACTTATTCATTCATTTATTAAAAATAGGAAACAAGTCGTATTTATTTTGGTTTTCAAAATAAACGTAAGGTTTGTTTGATGGGAAACAATGGGCCCCAATACGACAGCATTTGTTTAAAGACAAACAGAGGAAAGAATGAGTTTCAAGGCCAATAGAGTGTGTTTACTTGTTTATTTTTTAAAGAAACAGGCTAAGAGTGTTTATTTAGCTGAAGACCCCAGCTGAGCGGTCTTGGCATTCTAAGCTGCAAAGTGGGTTGTCCTTCCATATCAATCCGAATACTACTTCCATTAAGAAATGCAACATATTTTATATGATAAAAAGGTTTACATTTGATAATTATTAACAGCAAACAAGAAAAAACATTATCAAGCCAGTCCATCCAGAATTTTCCAGAGGCAAAAAAATCCCAAGTATATTCCCACTAAAATTCTCCCTTTAGAGAGAATTATTAGAGTAGAATTCACCACCATATCATAACCCTTCTTAAGTGACTTCATGACGGGCAACGGGTGATTGATACGCATATGAAATTGCACCACAGTCTTCATTTATGGAATCTTGATGGTGTAAGATGTGACCAAATGACCGGATCAGATCAGGGAGGATAAGTTGACCTGTAGCTGTTAGTCACAATGGCTGCATGGAACCTTCTGAATATTAGACCTGGATACCAGTTGCTAGGAAGGCAAGGTGCATTACCTTCATGCTTTTCTCGTGGACTGTCACAAAGGATCCAGTGGTGCATTTTGAAAAGGATGCTGAATGAGTGGTGAACCATCCTTTGGAACAGGGACGTCTGCAAAACTCATAGTGATGGCAGCTTTCTGTCAGCCTCCTTAGTGCCAGCAAAGAGGCAGCAGAATAGCAGGTAAAAACCAGGCACCAGCAATTGCTGAACCATTCAATCAAATGAATCCGGTCTAATCTAATCAATCAATCAATCAATGAGTTGAATCTGAATTTCCCAATCTTTACTTCATCCTGTCTCCATAGCTAGAACAAAGTTGGTAGAACTGTGATCGAGCAGAGTTGATATCCTTGGATGCTTTCCTACTTTAAAAAGCTCTGCTCCATTTGTGAGATATAAAATGGCGGTTGCTATCCCTCTCTCTTCTTTCCATGGAAGACCCAGTCCTCAGTGGTTGGCCAATTTGGGGAATCTTCCACCACGCCTAGCTGCTTCATTCTGATGGTACATAAGGGATCTTCCTATGCCTGGGAAGTTTCCTCACTGACATCGTAGTTACTACAGAGGTGGGGTACCTCTGAATATTAGATACTATCTCAAGGTTAGCCTGGAGGGGTAGATGTAACCTTGGTTGTTTTGCATGTTACCTTCTGGATCTTTATGTTGTGTTTGGACAGAGCTGCTGCTAAACCACTAAGATGCCCATCCAAATGATTTACTGGACTGAGTTAAGAGAAAAGCCCCACTCAATACTGTACTGTACCAAAAACTCAGAGACTGCCTTATTAAAATGAGTTGGTATCTCTGTTCTGTCCTTAAAACAACTGTTCTTTCTCCTTATCTCAGGGAATTATGAAAAGGGACTGGGGCAATCCCACCCTGTGAGTTCTTTATGGTATGGACTCTGACCTCCAATTCTGTGGTTTTACTGTCCAGTTTGGAGAGTACAATCATTCTGAGGCTGAGACCTAAGTTTGTTTGTTTCCCTTTAATTCTTGTTCCCTTTGGGGAAGGTTAATTAAAATAAAGAATATGGTGACCAGCTCGGCTTTATAACTCATACCTTGGTTATGTTCTCCAGCAAACAGAGGAGAATTCTTAATAACAGAATTCTTGTATTAGTACATAATCCATGAAAAATCTAATTTTGATGGAATTATATGCACACTGTTTCAGCTCTGAAGCCTAGGATGCAAAGGAGTTTCACTCAGACTTTTGGGACAGTCGTGACCTGGATCACTGAGAATCTTTACAGAGTTTCATCCAGAGTTCCAGAAAGGGAATATAAAGCTTGCTGAATATCAGACTGATGTATTTTGAAATGTCTTCTGGAATCTTTGATGCTCAGAGCCAAGTCTGAATTCAAAAACAGCACTAAACAAATATAATAATATTGATCCAAATACTGTGCATTTCCTTAGAAAAGCACATTTATCATAATTGAAGAAGTCATATAGCAATGCTTTTTCCTTTCAGAAAACAGTCTTGTTTCATGCCCTGGAAATATGTTGAAGACCCCAAGCCCCACAAAAACCGGTAGCAAAAAACAGTTGCCTTTGGAAGCATCTCCAGATCCAGCATCCAAGCCAGAGAGTAGCAAGTTGTCCAGCTCTCTGCTCACCGTTGAAAATGTCAAAAAACACCAAGAGGAGAACCCTGTTGCCAAATCAGATCTTGCTCAGTGGTCAATAGAAACTTATATTGAAGAAAGTAATCGCTTTTTGAATGAGAGCGGAACCAAGGCGGAGGGCAGCAGGGAGCAGGCGGTGGTGTCAGAGGAAGAGGAATCCAGAGTTCTTCGTGAAGGTTACCCAGGAAACACTGATCAAACTTTAGGAAAAGGTAGCTACAGCTTATGTTCTTTGGGGTGCATTCCTTGATAAACTGTTCAGCGTGTGCCTGAGGTGGCTAGCCTAAATATTATTTTAAAGATCAAAAGCATCTGGAGATGGATTGGTCTAGGTCAAGGAAGTGATAACGGGGGTGTGGTGTTTTCTTCAAGAGGGGCTGAAATCCGCCCCCTCCCCCAAATTCTCCTGCACGCTGGAAAGAAAAGTTGTTCAGCAAAACAATGGGAACACGCGGGTGTCTCTGAGGCCTGCAGCTTGCAAGGTCCCCCTCCTTGTCCCCTTGATAGGTAAGGACCTGTGTCAAATGTCTTGCAGGGACAGAGGATGCAGGACATAATCCGTGACGTGAAATATTCTGGAATGCATTAAGTGAATTGACTTCAATTCTCATTACAAAAAAATCCCATCTAACCAACAAATTAAACAAAAATCAAATGTGGCAACTTTAATGTATTTGAGGATTAAGTTACAAATTATTGGATAATCCTGTAGTGTATCTTGTAGAGCTGATGAAAGCAACTTTCCCACTTATATTCTTTGAAAAACATTTGTTCTCCCTCTGTGTAGATTTCCAGACAAGACCTCTGTCAGCTCCAGTTCCTGAAACGCAGTCACCCAAGTAAGAGGCATTTCTGCCTATTTTAGTCACATCCTTTCTAATAGTGGGAATTGCACTAGGTCTGTCATTCTAAAGTAAATAGTTAAGTAGGGCAACCAGATCTGCAAAATTTGCTCACTAGATGGCAGCAAAAAAAAACCCATAGAACTATCTTTAATGTATGGTGCCATCTAGTGGCTCCAATTCTTCAGTGCAAGTGAAGGAGAGAGTTCATTTGAATTTTTTTTTTATCCTTAACAGCCAAGAGAGGCAGAATCAAATTCAGTTGTTCTCTTTCCTATTTCTCTCTCTTTTTTTCATTTTTGATAGTTGGAAGATTTAGAATGTAGATAGAGTGTAACAAATATTATGGATTAGGTAGAAATAGAGCAATTTATTTTGGCACTGTTACCAACGTAACTACACGAACGCTCTCTGATTTGAGAGATTCATAAATATAGAGAATGAATGAATACAGAATATACTTTAAGCTGTTTTCGATGGCCTTACTTCCAAGAATGTACACTTATATATTTTTTAATAATTTATTTTTGTGAAATGGATTTAATATATTTGTCTAAGCATTTTGAAAACGTTTGCAGTTAAGTAAATAAATAGTCCCTCTGATAACAGCAGAGCATTTGTGGGGGGGCTTCCTGAATAGGAAATTTCTTCCAGAATCTGTTTTCCCTTCCTGCAGAAAACGGGAAGTTGCTGATTTGGAGACTCAGACTGAGTGGAGCTACTCCGTCAGCTCTGAAGAGTCCAGTGAGCTGAGTAAGTTCTGGAGGAGGTTCTGGGCTGAGAGGCTGGGCGTCCGGGGGGCTGGGGGGGGGGGCTGGGGACAAGGAAACCAGGGGGGGGATTGGCAGAGCCCCCTCCTCTCCTCTGCCTCCTTGCAATCAGAGCAATTCTGGGGTGAATCTGATGGCTCAGAGACAAGGCGGATTCTCTTCAACAGGAGTGTCCCAAGATCGGCTAGATGGCCTCAGGTGGGGTGGGATCCCAAATGAATGCGATTCTCTTGATTCTTGTCATAATATCTCTCATTTAGAAACAGAGAAGGAGCAGCAGAGAAGTACAGACAGGAAAAAGAAAAGTGAGACCACAGAAGGCAGTAAGTTGCAAAAATGGTGGCATTTCCTTAGTACTCCTGAAGTTGGCATGGTATCAATTCCAATCCCATTAGGATGCATGAATGATTTAGAAACGTTAACAGATATAATAGATTTTAATATTAAAATAACCAATTGTGTAGAAGGAAGGAGGGAGGGAGGGAGTCTGTCATTGTTTGAAAATGCTGCCGGCATCTGTTTGAATTCTGAATATCCAGGGCGAATTGGAAAAATATGTAGTGTGGCCACCTATCCCCTGTCCAGTTTGGGGTAAGAGAAGAGATGGGCGGCCGAACAAGATATTTCCCAGCGGACCAAGGAGGACGGTTCCCATGTGGCTCTTGCTACCTTTTGAAAACTGTGATAAACTTCTTTTCCCGAGAAGGCCCCTCCCTGGGTGGAAGCGGATCTTCCTCCCCCACCCCCGGTCATCCGTGCGGAGAGGAGGACTCCTCCAGGGGAAAGGGTCCCCGGGGGGGGCATGTGGGGGGGGGTCTTGTTAAATCCCTGAGGTACCTGGACCTACGGGGCTCCCCTTGGCGGCTGGGACCCGTTCAGGGCTACAGTTGTGTTTTGTTGTCGTTGTTCAGCAGAGACACTCGATCATGTAGAAGAGGAAGGAATGTCCAAGAGTGAACTGGAGACTCCAGGTAGGCTGTGTCCCACACTAGAAGTCCTCCACTTATGCCCACAAAGGGAGCCCAAAGCGTCTGTTTGCCCAGTGAGGCAACAGTTAAGCGGGTTTTGCTTTTGCCCCACTTTACGGCCTTCCTTGCCACAGTGGGGGCTAAGCGGATCAGGGCGGTCGCTCAGTGTGTCACACGGCTGTTAAGTGAACCGGGCCTCCCCCGTCGACTTTGCTGGTCAGACGGTTGCCAAAGGGGCCCCAGGACACTGCGACTGACGTAAGTACGGGTCAGTTGCCAGATGTCTGAACTTTGACCGTGTGACCCTGGGGACGCTGCAACGGCCTTGGGGGAAATGGTCATAGGTCACTTTTTTCAGTGTGGTTGTAACTTAGAACGGTCACTAAAGGAACAACCGTAAGTTGAGGACTACCTATTTTAAAGTTCCTCTGAAACCCTGAGCTGTTTGACGCAGAAATAAACCAGAAAGGGCTCCTCAGCTGTTTGTCTGTGCAGACTTTTGCAGATTCTGCGTCCCCCCCCGGGGGGGCCTGTAACTTAAGACCCAGTTATTCCATGAAGCCCAGGGAAGTCGCCCCCGGCCTTCCGGGGCAGCGAGAGAACGGGAAGCGGAGGGTCCCAGGGCTTGCGGGTGAGCAGCCGGCTTCCTCCACCCGTCCTAGGGCAGCTCCTCCAAGGCCTGCCTTCCAGAGCAGCAGCAGAAGCCGCCCCGCCTAAGCCCATTACGGGCTGGAGCGGGGCTTCTCCACCGTGGCCGCCTTGGGGACCGAAGCCCCCACCCACCCGAAAGCAGCCCCAGGTTGAGGAGAGAGCCCCCATCGTGGCAGAGCCTGGGCAACAACGCTTGGGCGCATGATAGAGGCAAAAGAAAGGCACCTGTGCCTGTGAAGTCCCTCACCCGGGCAGAGCCAAGGAAGAGGTTCCTATACCTTTTGGGATTTAAAAAAATTATACATTTCCCAGGGCTAAGTGTTCAGATACCTATATTGGCCATTATTTCTCATTATTTTTGTGGATCCTTTTTTTCCACAGCTAGGGAGGTTGGTTTTCTATTTAAAAATTGTTATGTAAGTATGAGTCTTATTTATTCAGAACGTTTCCTAGATAGTTTGTGTGTGTGTGTATATATATATATATATATATATATCAATCATTTCACCCGGTAGGATCTTTTGTGAAAAAAGAACTTTGGAGTCTTTGCTGTTCTGTGAGGTTGGATGTTTGCTTGCAAACCTTCCCTAACCCAACTAGGTAGCTTTGTCAGTGCTAGTGAGTGGGGGCTTCTCTCCTATGGGGACTAACTTCGTTTTCTTCCCCCACTTTTCCCCCCTCTTGAAATCCTTTTCATGCATTGCACTGCCAACCTCAAGAAAGCACCACTGAGGAGGAGAAGGCGAAGCCTTTTCTCCTGGAGGAGGTGAGATTTCGGATTTCTTCTCTCTTCCCTAGAATCAGGCTTATCCAGCTTTCCCTGCAAATGCAAGATATTTATTGCAAATAAAAATAACACGACACACTGAGCAAATGCAAAGCTTTTAGAATGGGGAGCAGGGGGTGGGGGGTGGGGGGGTCTGCAAAATTATCCAATGAGGTAAATCTGAGGTTTAAGAAAATCCAACATTTCTTCTAATCAGGATTCCAAATAATTCAAAAATGGCATACCAACCAAGCCCCAGGAAATGATTTAATTTATTTTTTTTACTTTATTTTAGAGAACTTATATGGCTGGTAAATGGGGGGCGGGCAGCATTTTAAAGGAGTCCCAGTAAATGCTCATAAACAGTGTCCCAGAATCAGAGGGGCAAGTGGGAAATCGATTATTCAGGAATAGAAGAGAGCGTCCCTCATGGATGGAGTGGAATGGAATGGAATGGAATGGAATAGAATGGAATAGAATAGAATAGAATAGAATAGAATAGAATAGAATAGAATAGAATAGAAATTGGAATGAATAGAATAGAATTAGGAATGAATGAATAGAATTAGAAAGGAATGAATAGAATAGAATAAGGAATAGAATAGAACAGAACGGAACAGAACAGAACAGAACAGAACAGAATAGAATAGAATAGAATATATATAACATTACATTGCAGAATAGAGTAACAGAAGAGAATATCCTTTATTTGGCCGAGAGGGATGAGACTCTCGAGGCCTCTGTCTCGGGTGCAGAAGCTCTCAGTGTAACGTGCAAAGCAACAGAGTAACAGAAGTCATCATCACGACCCCAGTGGCCCCAGGGGGCTTCAGCAGGTGACCCCCCCTTTTGCCTGCCAGGGAAGGACTCTGCAACCCCCCTTCAACACTGGGCCCTGCCAGCGTGAGCCTGGCTGTGCAGCTTTTCTACCACACGTTAGTGTGAAGTAAGCAAAGGAGGCATTGCTGTGGCTGTCACCTGGGAGTGCCAGCACGCTCCCCTCCTCCTCTGCGGTCACAGTTGCTCCTCCTCTCCATGGGCATTTGGGGGCACGGCCGTGTCCAGGGAGAGGAGGGGAGAGGGCCCACCTGGAGCCCCCCAAGCTCTGTGAGCTGAGTCTTAGGCAGATCTGTTTGTCATTTCCAATAAGCTTCAATCCCCCAGCTCCTTTCTCCCCGTGCCTTTGGTTACTACCGGGTCTTGTTATTATAGCCTCCTTGGATAAAAGTAGAATCGTGGCGTTTCTGGCGATATCCATCCCCTGCCTGTCTTAAAGGCCTGTGTCCCCTTCTCTCCCGTTTGCTCCAAAGACAGTCGGGGTGGGGCAACCTTCAGTTTCCTCCTCCCCGCCTCCTGATCTCCAGAGCTGTCTTCGTGTCCTGCTAACGGTTGCTGCGTCTCTCAAGACCACCTCTCTACTCCTCTGTGCACCCACCATCATAACTGAAGAGAAGTCCTACTCACTCAGTCACAAAATCCAGTTTCTCTACCCAGTCGTGAATGTCAGGTTCTCGCTGAATGAAAACAACGCTTTTCATGAACGTAGAAGCCGTTTGTATCTTTTCTTTTATGTACACAGAGAGCATTTGCACCAAAGACAAATTCCTTCTGTGTCCAATCCCACTTGGCCAATAAAGAATTCTCTTCTATCCTATCTTGTCCTATCTTATCCTATCCTATTGTTTCCTATTCTATTCTATTCTTTTCTATTCTATTCCTTATTCTGTTCCGTTCTATTTATTCTATTCTTATTTCCTATTATATCCTCCTCTATCCTCTTCTATTCTATTGTATATTTTCTATTCTATATTGTTCTGTTCTATTTTATTCCATTCCATTCCTTATTCTATCCTATCCTATCCTATTGTTATACCAAACGGCCCGCGTATCAGCAACTTTACCTGCAAAACTGTTTGCGCTGTTGATTCAATCTGGGGAAAAATATTGAACGCCTTTGTGTCTTTGAGGATCATTCGGTCACCGATCTGTGCCTGATGGGCCGCTGTGAGTTTTGCACCTCCCTTGTGAAGCGTTTGCCGTCCCCGGAGGAGCTGGAGGAGAAGCCGGAGGCGATGGATCACGTAGGTCTACCTTTCTCAAATACTGCCTGTCTGGCGATCAGGATTTCCTGATGAACTGACGAAATTCTGGAGGAAACCTTAGACCATATAAAACTGTAAAAATATCCATTCCTAACGGCACATGGCTTTTCTGTACCGTCATTATTTTTGGAGAAGACAAAATGGCGCGCATTGCCTTTCGAAACCTGTGCTGACCACTGGGGCGGTAGGTAAAGTGACTCAGGTGGTCCTTGACTTACAGCCGATCTCTTAGTGAGCAGTCTTGAGTCCTGACAGAGCTTCCAGGGTGTGTGGGCATGACTTACCATTCAGACTCAAGGTCCTGACGGTCCCCCCTTTGGGCACTCAGCAACCCGGCTGCGTCCGTGTCATTTGCAGCCTCCTCTGGTCATATTTATGGTGGTTTTGTTGAACATTGGCATTTATTTCCAGTTTTCGTTTAAACCACGCCCATTAGGAATTTATTGATCCACTTAATGACTGCTGCAAAAAAAGGTCGTAAAATCAGGTCCATCACATGACTGACCCGTTTTTGTAGCCATCCCAAGTTGCGACCGTGAGGGGCAGGCTCCCTTCCCGTTGTAACTTGAGGTCTGCCTGTACTTTACCTCAGAGAAGGATTGGGCCATTTTTACTCCTTGAGTGGAAATTCGTATTTGCACAGCTGTCTGTAACATGACTCCTATCACTATAATTAATGTTAAGCAAGGTTTAAAAAATTCTGGGTATACATAATCCCAAGCACTGAAAGCATTTAAATTTGAAATATGTATTAACTACCTTTTTATACTGCTACACCTCACAAGGACTCGGGCAAACAGAAATGTCTATGATAACAAGACATAATGTTTTCAGTTTAGGAAGAATGTCAGTGCAAAATAACTGACTTTTGAAAATTAACCATAAAATATGACATCCTCCTCAAAACTTTATATACTAAGAAACCTATGCCACGTTAGACAGGGGGAGAAACACATCACCCATAATTAAAATTAATAAATAGGCTTTTCCTTCTGTAATGGTTCCTCAAATTTGAAATTTGCTTATAAGGCACCTGCTATGCCAGTATTTCTGTCACTAAGCAGAACAATAAAGAAGGAAGAAGCGGACGGAGCTGTTTGTTAGCTCTAGAAAGTGTGAGCAGAGCCGAATCAAAACTGCTGATCCTTATTGTTGCCTCTGTATTACCGTTCTAAATTATCCATGGCATCCATATATTGCCCAGACACTGGGAATATATCTGCTGAACAAAACTCCACCCTGGTGACAGGAAGGGCACCTGGCTGTTAAAACGCTCTGCTAGCTCCATTCAGTTGCCCAGTTGCCCACCCCAATGCAAGTGGGGTGATGGGGTGGTTAAAAGGGGAAGATGGTCGGTGTGTTGGCTAGAGTCCATGGGGTGAAGGCAACCTGTGTAAGTGAATACATGTTTGCATCTTCACATGGATCCTTGATCAGGGGTGGCTGAGGAGACCCTGAAAAGTAAGACCAAGACTTCTAGGCAAATCCTGGTCCAGGAGGAGACCAGGAACAGGGTAGACAACACCCAGGAAAGCAGCCTCCGTAGGACAAGGACTCTCAGCCGCAGTGGAGAGACCGGTTGCTCAGGTGGGCCAAGCTGGGACGGTCCTTGTGATCTCGCCCTTTGGCGAGTCAAGAATCAGTTCAGAAAGGAACCGAGAGGCGAACTTCGCGAGCCACGTCAGGACACGGAACCGGTCTATTCTCGCCTGGGGATTATTAAATCCCGAAAGGCCAAGGCCAGGCCTGAGTAGGGGTCATGGCGGCCCTCCCTTCTCTGAACCCCAGGCTCCTTTGTAGTTTTTGTGTTGCAGGACCTACAAAGAGGTTTTCCGGTGGGTGATACAGGACTTCCTGGAGAAGCCAGGCAGCGGAATCGACATCCGTCCCCACGCCCGACTCTCCCTTGGAGCGATGGACAGCAAGACGAAAACGATGCTGATAGACGAGTAAGCAGCGTTGCCCGGCGGAAGGTCTCTGCCTCCCCTCTGAAACTCTTAGCTCCCTGCTACCCTCTATTAGTCGCCCAGAGTTTTGCAGTCCCACACCCAACGTGCAATTTCCACACACCCGCTGCAAAATATCCCCCCCACCCCCACAATCTCTGTGTCACTGTGTCAGGAGGACACAATTCCAAAATAAATCCCTGGGCGTGGCCACATTTAAGTCTGGCAAGGTCGGAATAGTCTACACGAGAAGCAGGGAGGTGGGGAAGGATTTATTTAAACAAACCGGCCAGGTGATCAGCTCGGCTGCAAATGGGTGGGAGACCAGCAGAGCTCCAGATCCCCTGCAGCCCAGTTGTGGGAGCCCGGAGTCTGCAAAGTACTGCACGGAAAGACCTTTCGGATAAAGCAAGACGGGGAAGGGTCCCGAAGAGGCCGGAGGGAAGGGGTCCCTCTGTGTTTCCTGGGCTCGGTAGAAGAGCCAGGATTGGGCAGCTTTCTCTGACTCGCCTGGCTGAGGGATCTAGCGGGTTTTTCTCCTGGGGGCCATTTCCCCCCCAGCTGCTTTTCGGGCACCGATGCCTTACGGTTTGCCTTCTGATGGCTGATTTTCCAATATTTCCCTGCTAGATTACACGAGCGAGGCTTTGAGAGATACAGAGAGATATTTACGCAATATATGAAGCTTGGCCCCTGTGAGTATAGCCCTTCGGAGCCCGTCTCGGTCGTGGAGCTCCTTTCTCCCAATGGGGCCTCCGGAAGGGCCCGAAGGAGAAAACGTCTTTCTCTCCCGTGTTCCGCTGGGAGGAAAATCCCCTGGAATCCTGGCCTGGCTGAAATCCTTCCTCTCCTCTCCCCTGTATTTCAGGCGTCAAAATTCACTTCAGATTATCAGACTACCCACCCAAACCAGAAACCACCATCCTCGAGAAACGGCACCCAGAACCCCAAGAGCTCCTGGAGATGGACTTGGAATTCAAAGCGGAGCAATTGAAGGTTGGTGGGTCTCCTGGTGGGTCGTTTGGTGCCCGAAGGCTCGTTGAAAAGGGGGGATGGGATCCCCTCCATCCTTTTGCCCTGGCTCAACAGAGCATTAAAGTGCTGTGGGCTTCCTCTGACACCCCCCCCACCCCCCCACAGAGCTGCTCGAAGCCTCTCCGTGCAGCCGACTGATTTCTGCCAAGCGCCTCCGCCCAGGAGCCCCAGGTAGCCTCCTTCCTGCCAAGCCTCCTCCGCCACAATGGCCCTGAGAGAGAGAGAGAGAGGAAGGGGCTCCCGTGGCTGAGCGCGGGCAGGAACCAACCTCTTCCTGCTCCTTTCGGTCAGCTGGGCTCTCTCAAGGTCATCTGTCCAATCCAGGTGGGCGGATAACTCCCCTGGGCCAACGTTCAGGTGGACCTCCAGTTCCAAAAGGCTGGTGCAGGTAAATTCCCTTTTCTATGGCAGCCGTTGATCAGGGAGACGTCCTGCCCTCGAGTCTACCTTTTCCAGGTGCGGGTTCCCAAAACTCAGGCAGCCACTAGAAAAACAACTCTGCTACTATCTAGTGGTCATCTGGATTTTGCCATCCAGGTATAAATGTCCGGTTTTCATATAATTGATTCTTACTAGCTATTGGGTAACTCTGATTAATTCCAGAGACAGAACCTCTATTTCCCCATATCTTATTTATTAAAGAGCTCCCTTATTTTTACCCTAGATATTCATTTCTTGACGTTTAACTTTCTTGTGTTATTTGTTTATTCAACGCATGGATGCCCAACTCACAAGGTGCTCTGCCAGTTCACAAATCTAAAACTGTCGCATCTAAGACCAAACAAGTTGGAAGCTAAAGACACCAGTCATTATACCGGAGACAGAGAGAGACAGAGAGAGGGGGCCCCCCTCAACCTTTGGGCCTCTTAAAACCCCACTTCCTCTTAGCTGGCTGTGCAGCCTGGGTGATGCCAGGGAGGTCATGTGATCACCTCACCTGCGTGCGGGGGCCGCGTTTCAGGAGAGCTGCTTTTTTCCCTTCCCTGTTTTTTCCGCTTCCTTCCTCAGCTTTGCCACCCTTTGGAGCCTGTGAAAAGATACTACCATGACGGCAAGATATTCTTCCTTCTTTTCCCGGATGGAACAGGCCAAGTCTAATATCCACCAATAAGTCGCATTGGCCGGACTGTCCAGTCTGCATGGACTTCCCAGCTGAGGAATGCTGGGAGTTGACGTTCCCCAGCCTAAAAGTGGCCACGGTTGGGCCCCCCTGGGGTCAGAGAGAGAGAGAGGAGTGGAAGGGTTGGCGGGTCTTGGTTCCAAATCCCTTTCTCTGGGGGGGGGGCATGGGGAAGCCTGGGGGGGGGCCGGGGGGCCTTTCCCCCCCCGGGGGGGAGGGGGGGGGGGGGTTGGGGCTGAGCCCTTGGCCAGAGGACAGGAAGGCAGGGCGGCCTCATCAGCCTCCGCCTCTGCACTGGCTGCGGGGCTCCTCCATTGAACGGGACGGTTCAGGATAAGCAGGAAGAGTTTTGCCAGTAGATATAAAGATTGCAAAAACGAAGGCCACGTTGCTAAGATAAACACGTTGAGACATTAATACAGCCAGCCCCCCCAGTCCCCCCCCAATGAACCCCCTCCTTCCTTAGCTCCTTCTCAGTTACCCGTCCGGCCGCCTTGCCATCCTCATTACTTACCTGAGCGAGACCCAGTTCACCTACAGCGTCCTCGGGGACAACAGGGACCAGGAGCCTCTGGCCTTCTTCACCAACCGGGGCCACGCAGCCCATTACCAGCCCAAAGGGAGGCTCAGGTGAGGCAAGGAAAGCGCTTTAAGCGGCACCAGGGCAACACCAGACAGGAGAAGCCGCCCTCGGCTAACGGGCTTTGCTCCCTGGGGGCCGATCAGGCTCCACATGTATAACTTCTTTCAAGTGCAGTAGCGACGTTGGTTACTAAACGAAAGGGACGTAAGTCGAGGAGTACCTATATAGATCTTAATCAGGAGTCAGACTGTTTGGACCATGATCCTAAAGAATATGGGAGATTATGACTGTATTTGCGCGTATTGCATGTGAAAGGGAGCAAAGCTTTGAGAGCCAAAGTGCTGGGGTTTTTTTTAAAAAAAAATCTGGGGACGTTTCCTAGCGCAGAGCAGGGAGATCGAACGTTTTCGGCCAAACCATGCAGCATTTCTTGCCACCATTTCCAACACTGGCAAGGCTTTTATGGCAGGTGCCCATAATACATGCTCTGCGTTGGTGTCTGCATGTGTGCTCTGAGTCCGTTTCTGGGGGCTCCCTGGGGACTCCTGGCACTTTCCCTGGCAAGGTTCTGGTTTCGAAGCGGTTCTCCGTCCCTGGGCTGAGAGGGAGCGATGCGGTTCCCTGCTGGGTTTCCACAGCCACCCACCTCAAGGAGCCCCGTGTGTGTGTGTGTGTGTGTGTGTGTCTCCTCAGGCAACCTAAAAGCAGCGGAGGGAGGGCAGAGTTATTCTGGAGAAGCTGCGTCTATCCTTCCTTCTCCCGCCAGAAATCCCAAACACGCCTCCAGCCGTCCCGTTTAACGGGGCTTTCCTTCCCCCAGGCTGCACCTGGACCTCTGCAACGGCTCTGTCTTCGACGGGAAAGGGCAGCGGCAGAAGTTCTGGAACTGGTGGGACACCGAGGGCCACGTCCACGCACCTCCTCTCCAGCCCATCTGCCTCCCACTCAATCTTTACATCCAGGTTAAAATTAAAGCCCAGGATCAGGTCTTCCTCACCTTCACCAAGTTTCACCATTGCCTCCACCTCAACGTTGGTGCACGGCTAAAAGTAAGTGGGGCCGGTCGACTTCCGCAGGAAGAACGGGAGGGGGGGGGGGGGGGCTTTGGATCTTTCCCCAAAATCAAACATTGCTTATGGGGTGGGGGGCAGACTGCCTGCATAGCCGGGGGCAGGGACTCCCCCCCCCCGAGCTCTCTAGGACCAAAAGGCCGGGCCCCGTGCAAGGGACTGTCCTCTGGGAGGGCCGTGAAAAGTCACCAGTCTGCTTCCGGGTGCCAGTCCAGGGGTTGGGGGTCCCCTGCCAAGCCCCTCACAGCAGGGGTCCAGGCTACTTGAGGGACCGTCTCGCCCCACCGGGGCTGGCCCATCCCACTAGTGCCGGCAGGGTCCAAGAGGTGGGCCTTCCCTGCTGGGCTCCTGCCCTCTGGGACACCTGCCCCCCCCGCCCCCAGGTGAGGTTGGCGCCAGCCCTCTAAATGAAGAGGTGGCTCTGCCAATTGGCTGGGGGCTGCTATGGTCGGAACAGCAGAACCGAGGGGGTGGCCAAAACACGACCAAAGCAAGCGTTGGTGTCAACCTTATGGACCAAGGATGTTATAATGATACAATTCATGCCTCCCCCCCCCCCCCCCCAAATCTTTCTCGATCCGTCTTTTCTTTTTTCTAATGGCTTTTGGCAGTTGAAGGATCCAAGCATGCTTTGGGTCCTTCAGCACTATGGAACCACGGAGCACCTGGTGAGGCCGTCCGTGCTGGAGAAGATCCGCAAAATCTTGACCAACATGAAGGAAGTATTGAAGAAACTGGACTCTGACCCCTCAAAAGAAGCTGCAGACCTGCGTCCTGTGTTGAAGGTGTACAAAAGGATGCGCCAACGACAGAAGAACGAGAAGAAGAAGCAACAAGGAGAGAGAAGTTAAGATTGCAGGAGGCCAACCTCACACTTTAAGTAGTACGGAAACTACTAAGTTCGCTTCATGTAGAAACCATTAAATCTTCCCTCTGTCTATCCTGTAGTTTATCTTTCCAGGTGTCTTTATGTAACACACTTGGATTGCACACACTTGAACACTGCTCAGAGTTTAAAAAGTGACTGAACCAGCAGTCTTTGCCCTTATGACTGTTGCAGTGCCCCCGTCCTCAAAAGTCACATGCTTGGGAACTGGTACCTATTGACAGGTATATAATTGCAGCATCCTGGCCACCCAAATGCCACTTGCAAGCGTCCCAGAGAGCTACCCCCCCCCCCATGATGGATTCTGGGGTTGTAAAAGTGGTTTTTTTGGGGGGGGGGAGTGGGGGAGGAACGTACTTTCACGCTTGCAAGATATTTGGTGAACGCAACCTCACTGTAAAGCCGGGACTTTGGTCCTTCCGGGTGTGCTGCTTGGCTGGCCTACCTCGCAGGGCTGACACCAGTTCCTGGGCCAGCAGCCCCTCAGTGGCCTGGGATCTGTGTGCTGTCCCTACACCCCCCACCCCTCCACGAAGTATACCGAGAAGTCACATTACAGACATCCCATAAGCTTCTCGGGTGGAGTCCAGAGTGTGTATTTTGTAACCCTGCTTGGATTTCCTCCTCGTCACTCCCCGGTTCTATGTCTGGAGATGCTCCCGCCGTTTTCGTGGCCCGGTTCTCCTGGAGCCGTTTGCCATTGCCTCCTTCCGAGGGCTGGGAGGCAGCGACTGGCTCAAGGTCCCCCAGCTGGCTTGGCTCGTGCCCAAGGCAGGACTAGGACTCCCCGTTTCTATCCTGGTCCTTGAATTACTCCCTCCAGACTGACCTCCAGCGGCTGCCATGAACCTCCGGGTAATATTTGGTGGGACGAGAGCTCCACATTCTTACCTCCCATAAAGGCAACATGGCAGAGTTTTGCAAGATTCCTCTCAATAGTAAGAGGACGATTTAGCTTCTTATTTTTTATTCACAGATGGTCTGAAACGCCTTTTAATGCATTATTCTAATTTTCTAAAAACATAAAAGACTCAAGCTGATTTCTTGTTGAGATTATTTTATTTGGGACAATTGTAAGCGATTGTTTTTAGGTGGAGGGCAAGTGTCAGATATTTTCATAGTGAAAACAAAAAAACAAATAAATGCTAAATATATTACAAAAATACTCCCAATGTTGTTCGTTAGAAATATACTATAATTTCCTCAAGGATCATAGAAAAGAGAACAATTCACAAGGCGTGTAATAAACTATATGGAGTCACGAGGCTCTTTTGAGTTTGGTGGTTTGCTTGCAGACGTTTCATTACCAAACTAGGCAACGCCATCAGTACTAGAAGAGTGTGGGGTTTGCCCAACTAGGTAACATCATAAGTGCATCATTGATGATATTGCCTAATTGGGTAACGAAACGTCTGTTAAGAAAACAGTTCGACCCTGAGCTACATATATTTTCTTCTATTAATACAGTATATAACAGATAATTTACACCTTTCACGATTTCTGTCTTAGGCACAACGTGATCTTTTTTGGGGGGGGGGGGGGGATCTAATTACAGTGCATTACGGATCCCGTGACGGAAGACGTTCTACCCTGGCAGATGCTTTGGAGGGAGAAGTGGGGCCATTTCCCCCAAACCTCCAGAACTGGATAAAGATGCAAGTTCTTCTATCTGGGTCCTCCTTTAATTAAAAGAAAAGAGGTATTTTAAGTTAAAAGGCCCCTTTTTGCAAACACAGATGTGCAACATCGGATGTGCTAATCCAGCCGAGACTCTGCAAAAGAAAACAGCGCAATAACCTGAAAGGGTCTCTGGGCGGTTATGCAGTAATTGGTATAAAATGGACTGAAATTCAAACTCATCACTGAGGAACCATCTCTGTGTTTTCTTTGCTGTTCTACCGTTCTCTTGCACCTAAGAGGCCAGGCCAAATAAAGAGAATTGTGTTTTTCCCTCTGCTGGCCTTATAAAAGGACCGGATCTTGGGAAATTCCCTTTTTAAAATTCCCTTTTACTGACAGGATGGGACCGATCGCCCCGTTCAGTGCATCCCACTGAGCTGCAAAATTCTTTCAGAGCCCTGCAAAATTCCTTGGAGGAAACTCGTGGAGGATTCTGCACATAAGATCAAGTGGAAGGAAGTATCAAACGTCTTCCTTAGCCAAATGCTTATGCAAAGTTTTTGCTTGGATATTTTTCATTTTCTCCTTAAAGTAGACGAGTTTCTTTTGGTGAATTAGTGAATAACCCACTTTCCAAGCTGTCTTTTCTTCTTAATGAATTATTTATGAGTTATTATTTATTAAAAGAAATATTTATTAAAAGAGGTATTTTAAGTTAAAAGGCCCATTTTTGCAAACACAGATGTGCAACATCGGATGTGCTAATCCAGCCAACTCCAGTCGAGACTCTGAAAAAGAAAACAGGACCATAATCCGAAGGGGTCTCTGGGCTGTTATGCAGCAATTCTTGCGAGTGTCAAAGGGAGGCTTCAACTCACCATCATGCTGCTATTTTGGTCGTGTCTCGCTTCGTGTATCACCGCGCTAAAACTGTCAAGATAGCTTAGATTTTCTTCTAATAAATGTGCAAAGTTCAACCTGTCAAGAAAAGAACAAAGATGGCTGCTCTCCATTCCAGCTACTCCTAACAAGAAAGGAAACTATTTAAATGCACGCATCAAAATCAGGAGTTTCCCTCTCTTAAGCGGTCATAATTCCAGGTATTTTCTGTTTGGAGGATGAAAAGATATTTTGAGATATGAATTACAATTAGGCCCCGACTTACAACCACAATCAAGCACACAATTATGGTCTTAAATGGTGACCTATTTTCAAGTATTTTCTTTTCTTTTCTCCTTTAAGTTTCAATTTCATGTCATACAAATATTCTACTAATTGTGCATTCGGAGCACATGGCTCTTTGGCATTGATAAAAAACGAGAGATATTCTATTTGCCTGTTGCCTTCTTGGCTAAATTGTTCATTTAATGAAGTGCTGCATTTCCTGGCAGAAGGGTCAACTGATAGCTTGGAGGCAGGATTTGAGGGAGGGAGGGAAGGAAGGAAGGAAGGAACGAAGGGAGTCGCTTCTCTTACGCATTTCTAGAGGCTTCCACGAAAGGCAACGGCTGCAGCACATTGGCCTGTGTGGTTTGGGAGAGCCAGGCGGGCACGGAGGCCGGGCCGGGCCCATCCACGCTGGAGCTGGCCGAACGAGTGGAACTTTGAGTCTACAAGGAAAAGGAACAACAGGAGGCGTTGGAAGAGACCGCTGGGCCTTTAGCGGAGTAGCTGCGCCCTGCATTGATTCTCAGTGACTCTGATTGGATGGCGCTGCGAAGAGGCCATGAGGAACAGGGTTTGTAGTGGCAGCAGGAAAACTGGTCCAAGCGACCTGGAGTGGTTTGGCATTCGTTCAACTCTGGACAGCAGCATCCAGAGTAACCTTCCCCACCCACCCATCCTCGGCCAGGAGGGTCACTGGGGCGCCATTTCCTTCTCCTGGACACCCGAGAAGGAAAAACCATGTAAGCGCCACACTCGGCTGTTGGGACTGCTGGCATCGAAAGGCTGAATGAACTGACCGGGATGAAAGATGGCTGGGTCAGCTCTGCCTTACGAACACGGCCGAAACCGTGGCCGAGGTGAGGCTCTCAAGCCTGGAAACAGCCGCGGGGAAAGAGATGAGGGGGAGCCAGGACAGCGCAAACCCACTCTCAGTTGGTCCTTAGCAGGCGGTGTTGAGGTGACCACTGACCACTGACCAGGGTGGGGCTGTCTGACACCTGAATATCATCAGTCAGCGACACCCGATTTTTCAGATGGGCGGCTTTGTGCTCAAACGTTTTTGCCCTGCCTAATCAAGGGATATAAAACGGGGTCTTAAGAGGGGCCCAGCCACGCTCTAATCTGTTCCCAGCTTTTCCGGATAATTTTTACAATGAACCCCTGAATTCTGGGGAGAAAATGGGCCTGATATTTCTGAGAGAGAAGACCGGGGGAGGGTCTCTCTGCTTAACCACCAGACACAAGTCTGGGCTAGTCTTTGAACCCAAATCCATTAATTATATGACTTATATGTCAGCAATGTCGGCAAACTGATAAGGCAAATAAGCAACAAAGCCCAAAATTGGCAAATCCGCAGCCATTTACTTTAGCCTTGTTCTATGTTCCTTTTCCTTTCTCTGTGCTGGTTAAGGGTGAGGGTTTCGGGTTTGCCACATTCCGAAGGGGGGAGGAGTGGAGACAGAGAGGGCGGTTTAGGCCAGGCTGTTTTTCCTCCCCGTGGGAACAGAAATTGACCCTGCTGGGACCTGGAGGTGGAGGTGACACTGGCGACACTGATTTACTTCTATTGGGGAATGTGACTTTGGCGGGGGGGGGGGGGGGTGTTTCTGATTTCCAATACTATAGGGTGTAATTCCGGGTTGTGTCAGGCCTGTAATTACAACAGACTTTGCCCTTTTCTTTTTAAATGCATTCCATCCCTTGGAAACCTGACCCAACGCTTCTCTATAACGTAAACTTGGTGGGTTTTGTACTGGCTGTTCCGCCAAGGTGGCCTGGCTGAGCCACATCCTTACGCAGGCAATTTTCAGCAGGTGCCAGATTTCCCTCTGCCGTTTCCCCTGCATTTGCATGACCGAATTGTCGGCCTCCTTGATGCTGTTCAGAGCCACGTCGATGCTGGGGAGCAAGTCGATGATCTTCTGTTTGCAGCCCAGCAGTTTGCTGCGGGTCAAAGAGAAAAGCGTCCGTTAGGAGGCGGGCAGGCGGCCGCCCTTTCCCTTGGCAGCGGCCCAGGGGATCCAGAGCGAGCGGAGGGCAAATTCAGAGTCTCTTTAGGGAGGGAGGGAGGGAGGGAGGGAGGGACCCCCATCGCGACAGCCAGGGAACGGACCCGGCAAGGTCTCTGGCTAATCTCCCCTCAGCCCCCTTCTTTCTCCACTGTTTTCAGACAAATGTTTTGGCTCAGTGCTAAGCCGACTTTTCGGTAATAAAAGACTTTCTCAGACCCGGTCTCCCTCCCGGAAGCAGGAACG